TCATTAACAATTTTCACCTACTTCAGTGCAGAATAGTGACGTTTGTGTCTTGTTGATAACGTGTAGGTGGATGAATGCACTTTGGCCGTTCAGACTGAAGTCACATGTCAAAAGATCAGATATGTATCAGGTTTCAGGAGCACATATCCAAGTGTCCTGGGTCACATGTTGAAAAAATCAGATCTGTGTCAGACTGTCATTAAAAGATCAGATACAGGAACATAGAGGCCAAAAAATCTGATTTGGGTCACTTCAGGCTGCAGTCTGAACGCAGCCTTCGTGACAAATATCTGTGAAAAAAAAAAAAAAAACGTACTTACTAAAAATATTATACACACACAGAGCCTGGTAAAAGCTCTTAAAGTTATTCTACAAGTCTGTCGGCAGAAATCTGGTGGCCTTTGGCAAAGAAGACTCACATGGGCCCCACTCCAATATTAATTAAACATTTTGCAAAGACTGCAGGTGCCAGACGCTTTACAGGAGCTTTTGAGGAGGTCATGATGGACGAGGGACAGAGATGTTTGTTCCTGCGGGAGTGAACACTTTGTAAGCCGCACGAAGAATTTTAATGTACAGTTTTATCTGCAGACTGAACAAATCAGACAATGAAATAATAATGTCAGTCACAAATCTGAGATTCAGTGCAATAGGCGAGTTTCAGCTGACGTCATTGTTATTAAAAGCCCGCATTGCATGCTGGGAAATATTTTGGTCAGAGGCAAGAAACACGATAGCGTCAAACACAGTGCGTAACCTCGCGTATTTATCCCCGATAATGGTAAATTCCTGCTGCATTATCAGATGCACAAATAGAAGCACAGAAGAAGGACAAATGTCTTTTTCGTATTCTGAGTGAAAAGAACCACTAACGGTGAATTAAACGACTTTCAAACATCCGCAGAGCAAACGTAGAAGATCCTAACAAACCGTGGACTCCAACAAGTTCAACAACACATCGAGACTCTTGGAGGTTTTCATCTTTTCTGCTGTGAATGGCCCAGGAGTTTCCACCAAGTCATTGTGGATATCGCCCAAGTGAATATTTGTCCAGGTAGTTGGCGATTCTGACCAGAAATTTGGTTTGTTCCACCTTTTGTCGGGGTTGAAAAGGGTGATTTGTCGTCCGTCGATGCTTATGACCAATTTCTGGTCAAATGCTCTTGGGTCCTCTGCCGTTAGAGTGGATAAATAACCGGGATCAATACCCTTTACGTGCTTTCTCGCTCCGTCCGTCATGTTGAATTAGTGTTTCTTGCCGCCGACTAAAATAATTCCCAGCATGCAACGTGCACTTTTGTCAACAATGAAACTCACCTATAAGAAGATCAGTCCAACATGCGGAGTCACTGGTGTGGTCATCTTTTAAACACATAAATATTTGTTGTTTTGTTTTGTCTCTGTCCTTGTTTGTTTTAAAAAATGGACCATGAGTCTGGAATAAAGATGATGAAGACGATTATGTACGGCCATTTAACATTTACAAGTGAATAACATACAAATTTACCACAAATATTTTTTAAATTAGCGTCATGTGGTTGTGTCGTCCGGTCTTGATTCTTACAGTAAGTGGGCTCGCCTCTCCACAGATCTGACTTGTTGTTGACACCCGGAGCTGTCATTTGTTTGTCTCCGTGAAAATAAATTAGTTCATCATTAGACTGTGGAAAATTCTAGTCCAAGCGAGTTACACCAGGCAAGTGACGTAGTGAACCTTTAAAGGTTGTTCAGGGCGACAGTCCTTGTGCAGGCGTGACACCACCTTCCTCCTCCTCAGCTCCTCAGTAGAAACATCTCCTCCTCCCGCCTCTTTACTCGACAAATCACATCTGTTCAGAATCGCTGTTGAAGTGACCTGTCTGGAAATAATTTAGTAACCGACGCGTCAGTTTTTAGACCCTTCGTCTGCTTCATTTGCGCCGTCGCTGGAAGAGATCTCCAAGAATCGCCTCAGTTCGCCTTCGCTCTTCTTCTTCTTCTTTCAGCGACCTCAAAAAACGACTTTTCGAACTGGTCATGGATTCTCGTCCGCCGTCGCGACAAACTTTGTGCAAACTGCGACGAAGCTACAGTTTTAAAAAAAGCCTCTAAACCAACGGCATAAACCACGTAATCCCCGCGCGCCGACGAGTCAGTTACACTAGGAAGTTTGATTGACAACCTAACAGCCAATAGATAAAGAGGCAGCCTCGTTTTCTATTGGCTGATGTTTATCTGGCCTCACTACTTCCACAGTTGATAGATTTTCATTCTTTTTTTTTTTTTTTTGGATCATCATAATTCCAAGGCTGCTGCGTTTCTGTAATGGTATTTTAAACTTTTATCTGAATCAATCTGAAACTAAAAAAAAAAAAAAAAAAAAAATCCTCCATACAACCTTTAAACTTTACCTTAATTAGGCTCGTAAAACTGAAATTGAAAACGCGATCAACTCGTCTCCTGCCGCGTGATTTATTGTCCAGTGGCGCCATCTTGAGGACCTACGTGCTTATTGCGTGTTTATGTCACATGGCTCTTTCACTGTCAATCCTTCCCAGTTCGGACCGCTCCAAAGTCCAAACCAGGACCGAACAGCGATGCGGTTTTATTTTTAATCCCGCGCGTAATGTTCCTGAAAACACTCCTCGGCAGGTGCGGCGCGTGCGTCCAGCGAAGCGGCATTTCCCTGCGGATTACCCCGGTCCAGAGACGCCACATGGCCGCCACAGCTCCCCCAAACACCCCCGGCTCCATAACAACCACCACCAGGGGCTACTACAAGTCCGCGAAGCCGGAGAGGAGCGCCGGGGCCCGGGTGGTGGACCTCCGGAGCGACACGGTGACGAGGCCCGGGCCGGAGATGCGTAAAGCCATGAGCGAGGCCGAGGTGGGGGACGACGTGATGGGAGAGGACCCCGCGGTGAACGGTAAGAGTCCTCAAGGTTTTTTTAAAGTAACATATGGTCAGTGTTGGGAAGGTGACTTTTAAAATGTAATCCCCTACAGATTACAGATTACATACACCAAAATGTAGTTTGTAACAGAATCCATTAAATTACTTCAAGTGAGTAATGTAATCTGAATACTTTGGATTACTTGATTTGCTGTAGAGAAGCAAAGACTCGAACATCTTCACATAAGAAGTTTTATCTGCTAAAAGAAAATAAAAAGCCCAAACTTTACTGAACCAAATAAAAAATATTATTGATAGAAGAAGAGGAGACACAGTCCACACAGCAGGATTTAGTCCTGTTAAATCCTGGTTTAGACCTAGTTTAGACCAGGTTTTAGTCCTTGTTTTAGACCTAGTTTAGACCTGGTTTAGACCTGGTTTTAGACCTGGTTTAGATCTTGTTTAGACCTGCTTTAGACCTGGTTTAGACCTGGTTTTAGTCCTGGTTTAGACCTAGTTTTAGACCTGGTTTAGTCTTGGTTTAGACCTGGTTTAGACCTGGTTTTAGACCTAGTTTAGATCTAGTTTTAGTCTTGGTTTAGACCTGGTTTAGACCTAGTTTAGACCTGGTTTTAGACCTAGTTTAGATCTAGTTTTAGACCTGGTTTAGACCTAGTTTAGACCTGGTTTTAGACCTGGTTTAGATTTAGTTTTAGACCTGGTTTTAGACCTACTTTAGATCTAGTTTTAGACCTGGTTTAGACCTGGTTTAGACCTGGTTTAGACCTGGTTTAGTATCCGGCAATGAGTGGAATTACTGAAAAAAAAGGGGGGGATTTAGCCCAAAATGTGAAAACATGAAAATATCTCTGTTTAATCCATTTATTTCAACAAAGTAACTGTAATCCAATTACCACTCACTGAAACAGTAACTGTAACTGAATACAGTGACTCATAATTTGTACTCTGATTACTTAACTCTGGTACATGTAATCTGTTACTCCCCGACACTGCAGATGTTTCACTGGAGCGAGCAGCGCGATGCAAATCAAAGTCACGCGATAAAAACATCAACGATAAGAGCGAAGAATTACGAGTAAAACTGTTAAAATGCAGTTTCCTCGTCACAAACCTGGACCTGGAGTTGTGTTTTTATTTTTTATTTTTCATTCACACTTGTTTAACTCACAAACCCTGCAGTTTTTCTCTCAAACTAAAACACTTCCACTTTGTGATGTCATAAAGTGTGTTTTTAAACTCCACACACCTTCACTAGAATCATCTGGATCATTTCAGCCCCGGAACTGTTCATCTCTACGGAACTAAAGATAAAACCGTTGCTGTTCACTTGAAAACTACCACTTCATGACATCACAAGGTGGAACAGAGCATTTTGAGCTTTGGAGACAATTTTTATTTATTTATTTATGTTTATTAAAGACATCACAATCACATTAGACAAGCCAGATGTTTTGCTTTGAGTGTTTTAGCACAAGTCCATATAAAAATATAAACTACATGCATAAAAACAGAGAACACAAGACACATAAGTTACATACAGATAAAATAAATACAGTATATTCTCAATTGATGCATTTTTGATTGGAAACATACAATAATTTTAATTTCCTTTTAAATTTGTTGTTATTGGTTTCTGATTTTAAATGAGCTGGTGAACCGTTCCACAGTCTGGCCCCTTTAAAAGAGAACGAGGACTGACCAAGAGTCGTCCTGAACATCGAAACAACACCAAAACAACACAATTATCACTAGTAGCTCCTCTTGTGTTCGATCTGTGTGAACATTTTATGGTCCTGGCTAGGGATGGGCATGATTAGTCGATTAATCGATAATTGATCATTAAGAATTTCATCGATTACGTTCATTTTAATCGACAAACTGAATGTATGTTGCTGTGTGTGTCGTGACCAAACAGGTGTGTACATGTGTCTCTGCATCAGAAGGAGCGAGACACAAACAGTGGGTCAGTCTGTAACGAACCGAAGCACAAATGTGGATTTAACGATGATTTGTACAAGAAATTCCACACTTTCCGTTGCGTTGGGACAAGTGTGAGTCCATGTGCACAGTGTATAAAGCAGCACATATGTTTCTGTGTCCAGTGGGAAAAAGTTTTTCCAGGTGAGAGTCGCTCAATGTGGATGACGAGTCCCAACCTCCCTCCCCCCGTACGCTGTCCTGGGTTTGACAAACACAAATCTGGTCACACTGACCTGTATTCACCTGAGTCATGTCTTTTAATCCGACAGAAGTTGAACCACATCAGCGACACAAGAGCTGGAGTTTTATCTTCACTTAGTTTATGTAAATTAGCGATGTGGTTTTAAGTTTTGTTTTCGTTGAATTAAACACATTATAATAAACGGGCTGATGTGGCTCTAGAGTCGTTATGTTTATATGTCGTAAAGTTGAATTTATTTATGCAGATTAGTGCAGATAGTAATAATAATGATGATCATTTTAATATAAAAATGTTAATGATTAATCAATAATCGATCCTTAATTCTTCCGACGATCGATTAAGAACATTTCATCGAGTGCCCGTCCCTAGTCCTGGCAAATTCTGAGTGCAGTGATGTATCACAGTTAAGACACTTAAAAAAGAATTTAAGATGATTAAAATTGGTAGTTAAAAAGTTGATGTTTCTTTAGTATTTCACAGCGGTGCCGATGTTTGGGCTTTTTGTCAAGGAGGGTCAGTTTGTAAAATGAACCAAGAGGTTTCAGTGTGTCTGAGGAGCCTGGGTCCATGAGCTGATACAATAAGACAGATGAGAGAAGATCACTGCGTTCATGAGGAGTTTAGAGGTGTGGAGCGATAGATCTTTACGTATGAAACAAAAGCCACTGAGACTAGTTTTAATCTTCTTCGCCAAGTATTTTCTGTGAACGATAAATTTGAAATTTTCATTTAGAATGAGGCCGAGGTATTTAACTTCACTGACTGTTTGAATAAAGAGTTACTCAAACATGTGAACGAAACAAAAAAACACAACTCCAGACAGGGCTGGGTATCATTAAGGAGTTGCCGATACGATACATACCTCGATACACAGGCCACGATACGATACATACCTCGATACACAGGCCACGATACGATACACACCTCGATACACAGGCCACGATACGATACATACCTCGATACACAGGCCACGATACGATACGATACATACTACATCGATACACAGGCCACGATACGATACATACACACTCGATACACAGGCCACGATACGATACATACCTCGATACATACACAGGCCACGATATACGATACACACACCTCGATACACAGGCCACGATACGATACATACCTCGATACACAGGCCACGATACGATACATACCTCGATACACAGGCCACGATACGATACATACCTCGATACACAGGCCACGATACGATACATACCTCGATACACAGGCCACGATACGATACATACCTCGATACAGTGCACTTTCGAATCGATATGATATATTTCAAATCGATTCGATACGGTTCAATAAAAAATAAGGCTAAATCGTGGCTGTGATATTAAAAGTCTTTGTTAAATCACTTCTTGTGCAAAGTTCATATGAAACACAAACATTTTAATCATCAAAACAGTAAAAATATCAAATGTGTCACATAAATGAGTTTCCTTTCACTCCACAAGCAACAAAACTGTAGCTGTAACAAAATAATTTAGTAAAATACACCTAAAAATACTCTTGGTGAAATATCGATACAGCAGCCCACGATATCGATACTGTGTCATCACATTAAACGATACGATATATCGATATTCTGATATTTTTGCACACCTCTAACTCCAGATCTGTTTTGGAGGAGAAAACTACGTTAGAACACAGATCAGAAAATGTCATAATATGGGCTTTTTAAAGAAGAAGGAGCACAGATTACAAAAATAAAAGTCAAGAAGTTCTAACAGTTTTGTTTCTTTTTCCGCAGAGTTACAGAAACTTGCTGCTGAAATGTTTGGGATGGAGGCGGCGCTGTACGTCCCCTCAGGAACCATGAGCAACTTAATCGCAGGTAACAGAAATAAAAGGAAATTAAAAAAGGACAATATGCAAAACACTTTCACTCTCTCGTCTTGTGCAGTGGAGCAGCACGATTTAAGAAAAAAAAAAAATCTAGTATTGAGATGAAATTTTGCAAAACATGTTAAAAGTGTGATAAAGTTCAGAGCACATCCTGTAAACTTCTCCAGGAGCTCACCTCGCCACAGATCTGAGCTGTAACTTAACCTGGAGGCATCGCAGACTTATCTCCATTGACGCAGATAAGTTTAATGCCATACTGTGGGACATCCTAGACAAAGCAATCACATTTCCTTGAAGACGAGCAGGTGGTGGACCCTCCAAAGTTACAAGCGCCTTTAAACATCCTACGTTACGCAAAAGTTACTCTTGTGAACTCAGTTTAAGTCGTGTTATAATCAGTGTTGGGAGTAACGCGTTATAAAAGTAACGAATTACAGTAATGCATTACTTTTTGCTGTAACGCAGTAATGTTCGGCATTACAGGGGAAAAAATAGTAATATTTTACTCGGTACAAATGTGAGTAACGCGCGTTACAGTGTTTTTTTAACCTGGATTGAAGTGGTGGGTTTTTTCTTCATACAAATTCGCTAAAATCACCTCGATATCAGCAGCGGTGAAACGCCGGAGATGCGCCCTCGTAGACCTTCAGGTAACCGCGGGCGAAAGGACTGACAACACAGAACTCCACGCTGTTTAGACCTGGTTTAGACCTGGGTCAGTTTTGGTTTAGACCTGGTTTAGACCTGGGTCAGTTCTGGTTTAGACCTGGTTTACACTCGTCCCTCCCTCTATCGCAGTTCACTTTTCGCTGTCTCGCAGATTTTTTTATTTATTTATTTTTGTGCAATTTTGCATGCCCTGTTTTTTTTACATTGTATGAATGTGTATTGCGTTCCTCCCGCTGCGTCCTGACTGGCCAAGGGACTCCTGTCTCCTGTACAGTACAGAATGTGTTCAGCTGCCAAATTTAAATACATGTTCAATCTCTATCAGTGTGATTCTGAAGTGCTGTATGTTTGCAAGTTTTCTCCCCGACGAAACCCACAACGTCGACGAAACGTTCTGCACCGACAAAGGCTCCTGCGCTCGCACCCAAAAGACAGAGGAAGATGCAAACCATCACACAAAAAGTTGTACTTCTGGACACGCTGAAGGAAAGTAGAAGTTACGCGCTGTAACAGACTCTTGCACCGGGTCTTGTACCTGCAAATAGTTGCTGAAATCAGGGCCGCGAGCCCGAGCAGCAGGGTCCATAAAGAGCGATCGGGCGACAGCCGCTCTTACCTCCGTGAGGTGTGGGAGCAGAGCCGCTCCTTTCTCCTGCGTCACCTTCGAGCCCGTCCCTACAGTGAGTCCTGTTTTAGTCCTAGTTCAGTTCTAGTTTAGTCCTGGTTCAGCTCTGGTTTAGTCCTGGTTTAGTCCTGGTTTAGTCCTGGTTCAGTCCATATACAGCGCAAAAGTTATTTTGGTGAGAGTAACTTAAAGTAATGCAATAGTAATGTAATGCCTTACATTTTAAATGCAGTAATATTGTAATGTAACGAATTACTTTGAAATGACAGTAATAAGTAATAAATAACACATTACAGTTTCAAAGTAACTTGCCCAACAGTGGTTATAATGTTGTTGTTCCTCAAAAACAGACCTGGAGTTGTGTTTGAGTAACTCTTTATTATTTGTCTGTCTACATCTCCAAAGCTCAAAATTCTCTGTTCCACCTTGTGATGTCATGAAGCTGTAGTTTTCAGTGACCTGCTTTCTACCTTTTACCTTTTGTTCAGCAGAGTTCGGCAAGTCCAGGTCTGAAATTATCCAAATTATTCTAGTGAAGGTGTGTTGAATGTAAAAACACATGTGGAGCACCTCCTGTTACCTCATGACATCACAAAGTGCACGTATTGTAGTTTGAGTGAAGATCTCAACCTAAATCTGCAGGGTTTGTGTGTTAAACGTAGAGGTGTGCAAAAATATCGGAATATCGATATATTGTATCGTTTAATGTGATGATACAGTATCGATATCGTGGGCTGCTGTATCGATATTTCACCAAGAGTATTTTTAGGTGTGTTTTACTAAATTATTTTGTTACAGCTACAGTTTTGTTGCTTGTGGAGTGAAAGGAAACTCATTTATTCAACACATTTGATATTTTTACTGTTTTGATGATTAAAATGTTTGTGTTTCATATGAACTTTGCACAAAAAGTGGTTTAACAAAGACTTTTAGTATCACAGACATGATTTAGCCTTTATTTTTTATTGAACCGTATCGAATCGATTTGAAATATATCGAATCGAAAGTGCACTGTATCGAGGTATGTATCATATCGTGGCCTGTGTATCGAGGTATGTATCGTATCGGCAACTTCCTTAATGATACCCAGTCCTAGTTAAACGTGTGAATGAAACAAAAAAAACACAACTCCAGGTCTGTTTTTGATGAGGAAACATGATTATGACAGAGGTAAGAGTTTTGTGTAACATGGGCCTTTTAAACAAGAAGGAGCACAGATTAAAAAAAAATAAAAGTCCTTTATTCTATAAATGATTTTTCAGAGTGGAATATAACATTTATCAGTTTATAAAACAGGTTACACATTAAACAATTATCTTTTGGCGCTGTCAGTGAAAGTGACTTTACAACTTTACAACAGATCAGTTTACGATCATAAAAACTCACCCATCGTTCTGATCCTCCGCAGGGACGTCACGCCGGGGGAGTTCTACATGAATCTGTGTGTCATTCGTTCAGTTGTTTTTCAAAATAAAACCAAAAATAAGAAAACAACTATTTTCTTCATTATTTGTCTCCAAAATCAAAATGAAAAAACAGATCATGTTTTTTCAGTTTTTTGTGTTTAAATGAAAAATTGAAAAAATGGATAACGACGTGATTAAACCAGGACTAAACCAGGACTAAACCAGGACTGAACCAGGACTGAACCAGGACTAAACCAGGACTGAACCAGGACTAAACCAGGACTGAACCAGGACTGAACCAGGACTAAACCAGGACAGGACTAAACCAGGACTAAACCAGGACTAAACCAGGACTGAACCAGGACTAAACCAGGACTGAAACCAGGACTGAACCAGGACTGAACCAGGACTGAACCAGGACTAAACCAGGACTGAACCAGGACTGAACCAGGACTAAACCAGGACTGAAACCAGGACTGAACCAGGACTAAACCAGGACTAAACCAGGACTAAACCAGGACTAAACCAGGACTAAACCAGGACTAAACCGTTCTTAGTCCTGGTCTAGGCCCAGTCTAGGCCCAGTCTGGTCCCGTTCTCAGTCCCAGTCTTGGTCCTGTTCTCAGTCCTGGTCTCAGTCCCTCTCTGATCCCGGTCTCAGTTCCGGCCTGGTCCCGGTCTCAGTCCCGGTCTCAGTCTTGGTCTCAGTCCCGGTCTCAGTCCTGGTCTCAGTCCTGGTCTCAGTCCCGGTCTCAGTCCTCGTCTCAGTCCCGGTCCCCGGTCTCAGTCTTCTCAGGGTTTAGTCCTGGTTTAGTCCATATGCGGTGCAAAAGTCCGGCATCGCAGTTTAAGTTTCAGAAACGGGAAATGTTATCAGTTTTTTTCCATTTTTCATTTAAACAAAACACACAAAATGGATTTAAACAGGCACATTTTCAGAAACCTGTGATCGGTCTGAGTTTAGGAGTTTGATTTTAAACAAAAAACACCTCACATGTTGTATTTCCAGCTACACCAAGTCTTTCTGGCCAGATCTTGTTAAAATAGAGTTCAAATTAAACTGCCTACAGTTCACTGCAAATGCTCAACACTTAAACTATGGTTCATAAAACAGTTTAGACACTCATTGTTGGTTTTACAATATATGGGACAGAAGGTCATGTGAGGTAAAGGGATTTGAACGCTGTAATCTTTAACCTCATAAACTCTTCTTATTGTGTGTGTACAGTGATGGTGCACTGCAGAGAGCGAGGGGACGAGATGATATTGGGAGATTTGTGTCATGTGCATATTTACGAGCAAGGAGGAAGTGCACAGGTAAGACAAAAGTCAAACTATGGAAGCGTTAAAGGTCCTAGATTACGCAAAATTGACTCTTGTGTCAGAACTCCTCAAAAACAGACCTGGACTTGTGTTTTGTTTCATTCACGTTTGAGTAACTCTTTATTATTGGTCTGTCTACGTCTCTAAAGCTCAAAATGCTCTGTTCCACCTGGTGATGTCATGAAGTGTTCGTTTTCAAGTGAACAGCTCCTTTTAAGTTCAGTAGAGATTGGTACCGTAATTTTCGGACTATAAGGCTACGTTCAGACTGCAGGGCTTAACGCTCAATTCCGATTTTTTTGTGAAATCCGATGTTTTTTCGAGGTCGTTCACATTTCCAGTTAAATGTGACTTGTATGTGACTCCAGTGTGAACATTAAACAGCCCAAAAGTGTCCCACATGTGACACTGGAGACACGACGACGTCAACCGCAGCGAGCGTCTCTGTGTTTACAGAAGTTGTCCAAACATGGACGCAGCATCGAGCACCTGGAGATTTTAAAGTTCCTCTTATGCCGGAGCCAGAACATGAACAACTTACTTGTTTTAAGGAGGAGATTGAGAAGGAGAAGGACGAGGTTTTTGGTCGTGGTGTTTTGTGGGACAGCGGCAGCGACGTCCGTTGAAAGGAACGTGTGGATGTGGAGACGGAGCCAAGAGTGGTGAGTGGTGATGTGCTTCACTTCAGTGACACTGAGTTCATTAACAATTTTCTCCTACTTCAGCTCAGAATAGTGACGTTTGTGTCTTGTTGATAACGTGAAGGTGGATGAATGCACTTTGGCCGTTCACACTGAAGTCGCATGTCAAAAGATCAGATATGTATCAGTTTCAGGAGCACATATCCAAGTGTCCTGGGTCACATTTGAAAAAATCTGATCTGTGTCGTTCAGACACAGATCAGATACAGGAACATAGAGGCCAAAAAATCTGATTTGGGTCACTTCAGGCTGCAGTCTGAACGTAGACTTAGTCGCTCCGGAATATAAGTCGCACCAGCCAAAAAATGCGTAATGAAGAAGAAAAAAACATATAAGTTGCACTTTTTGTGGGAAATTTATTTATAAAATCAGAGACCAGGAGCCGACATTTCCTGTGTAAAATGAAGTTCTAGTAAAAACAATAGAAGAGAGAACAACAGACTGTTAACGTCACATATGAACAGTTCTTCAGGTAATTACCTCCAGAGGTAAACAGAGCGACGCTTCCTCTTCTGTGTCGCTGTCGTCAGACTCAGCATCAGTTCCAGTTAGAATTATTCGGGTCTTTCTGAATCTCGACAGGATGGTTTCGGTGTCACTGAAGTCCAGACTTTGTCCATCCATCCAGTGACTTCAGGAAAGTTTCATGGTGCATCCTCCCAGTGTCACAAGTTTCTCTCTCACTCCAAACTTTCTTTCTGCTGCTCGATTATCGTTTTCAGCTGCAGATTTCACGACTTGCAGTTTGTAAATCTGCAGAATCTGATTTAGTTTTTGGTGCATTTGTGTTCAGTCTTCTCAGTCGTCTTTATAAGTTTGTTTAAATGTTAAATTGTTCAGTGGTGCAGAAGTAACGGTGCGATCGACTGACATGATACAGACAGAACAGAGGCTCTTTCTGCAGGAGACATGTGCAGTAGAGCCAAGTGACAGTGGTACAGGAGGAACAGGAGCAGCAGATACTCACACACAAGACTAGAACCTCTCCACACTTCACTCAAACATTTTAATATATAAGTCGCAGGAAACACCCAAACCATGAAAAAAAGTGCAACGTATAGTCCAAAAAATACGGTAATTCCAGGGTTGAGCGTTTTCTGTTTGAGAGAAGAACACAGACTAAATATGCAGAGTTTGTGTGATCAACGTGTGAATGAAACAAAACACAACTCCAGGTTTGTTTTTCATGAGAATCAACATTAAAACATGGATCAGAAAATATCGTAATATGGGCTCTTAAAAGTGTATTTACTAGATTCATATGTTTTTTTAATTATTGCTTTGTTTGATTAAGAGCCAGTGTGAGGAGAAATGTAGAAAACAAAAAGTAAAGAGGAAGACGTACGTACACGACGGACTTACCTGAGAAGTCGTTGCAATTTCAACAACTAACAACAGACAGGTCCTCTTCTTTTATAGTGACGCATTTACTTTTGTTAAACTCCAAGATGAGGAACAGGAAGCAGCAATAAACTGAATTAAGTAAATAAAATAAAATAAACTAACACTAATTCACTTCACTAAGCAGCAGAACTTCAGATAAACCAGAGAGAATAAAATATCAAAATTAAAATAGACCCTGTGACCGTGTTTTTTGATTGGTGGCATTTGAAATAAACTTTAAATTAAATATTGGAAGTAGAAGTAGTTTTTAGGCTTGACACTAAAATGTTATAGTGAAATAACAAACTGTTTTCCCATTTTATTGTTTTTCGTTCTTAATTGAAATTCAAAATTCAAAAAGTAAATCTAAACTCTCAACCAGTTATGTTTTATAAAAAGTTGTTTAAGGGCCGGTTGTTTGTTTAGGAGCATATTCAGCATATGAAAATGGGACTGGACTAGGACTAAACCAAGTCCAAATCAGGGGGGTCCTCCTTAAATGTTACAGCACATCCACTGTCCTGTGACCTGCACAGAGAGGTGAGCGCTCACACAGTCTGAGTCATGATCCTGTTACTGCCCTCTGCCCCTTTAAGAACACGCCCTCTGCTGCTGCTGCTGCTGCTGCTGCTGCTGCTGCTGATGATGTGATGTGTGAATTGGGAAGTGAAATACAGCGGCTAAATCTACTAACCCTGCCTCCACTTCATGAATCTCTTCACTTAAACCGAGAGTTTTCTCCGAGTGAGTCCAGAGCAGAGATGGCTGAGCAGTTTGCAGCAGTGGAGGACTATCTGACCTGTGCTGTGTGTCTGGAGACCTTTAAAGAGCCGGTGACTCTGGGCTGTAACCACAGCTTCTGCTCCGACTGTCTCCATGGATACTGGGACAAGAACAACACCAAGAACTGCCTCTTCTGCAGGAGGAAATCCTCGAAGGGGCTTGGGGTAAACTTTGCCTTAAAGGAGCTGTGTATAACTTTCAGTGACAAACTGAAGTCACAGGACAGAGCTGCAGTCTGCAGGTCTCACCCAGAGGTGCCCCCTCTGTTCTGCACAGACGAGGCCCGACACGGTGGTGCCTCTGGAGCAGGCAGAGAGGGACCTGAAGGAGCAGCTCCAGTCTCAGGTGGAGGATCTGAGGAGGCACAAAGCAGAGGCCCAGACTCTGGAGCAGAGCTACAGAGAGACACAGCAGCACTGGAGAAGCAGCTGGAGAAGAAAGCCAAGGACTTCCTCCGCTCCTACAGCCCAAATGAGCCCCCAGACCCCCTCCCTCCTCTGGGGCCCGGACTGCTCCTCAACCAGGCCAAAGTCCTGGGAAACCTGGCCTACAGGGTCTGGAAGAAGATGGGAGAGATGGTCCAGGACAGTCCTGTGGTTCTGGACCCAAACACTGCACATCCATGTCTGTCGGACAATCTGACACCTGGGCAGACCTCCAGGTCCCCAAGAATCCAGAGAGATTGGTTCTGTAGGTTTCAATCTGGGAAGACTACACAAAACCACTGGGGCACTCCAGAAAGTCTCAAAACTCTGGGAAGTCCGAGTCCAGTTGGACTGTGACAGTGGGACAGTTTCCTTCTATGACTTCAGTGACATGTCTCTTATTTACACTCATAAAGACATTCCCAAAGAGAAACTGTTCCCATCTTTTTATGTGGGACCCACTGCTGCTGCTGAGTGTCAAACCAACAACATCAGGATCTGTGCCAGATCTGACCCAGGACTAAACCAAGACTAAAACAGATCAAGCTCTTTTTGGAGATTCTTTGATCCAGTAAGATTGGCTCAAACCAGGACCAAACCAGGACAAGTGTGGATGCACTTTTAGTTTATAATGATCTTGTTTAAAGTATAAATGACAGGTTAGTCTATTCATTTCTCATGGACAGTCGATATGTCATGTGTAGAAATATGTTACCAAGGAATGTTCATGTGGCCAAAACGTCTTTATATTACACATTATGTTTTATATGATAAGAAGAAATGTCAACATATTTTTGTTTAATCTGTATTTAAACTGTCTGACTTCCTTGCACATAAATTCTCTGTGCATTTCAAATGGATGGACATACACTCCTACGGCAACGGAGTGATTTGCTGCTCTTGTGGCTACCTGGCTCACACACTGAGCATTTTTTGAAACCTTTTGTTTTTTGAGCTCAGTTTTTAACATCGTATCTTGGGATCTTAACCTACTAAGAAGTGCAGCACGTGCGGTTCAAGGGACACAAGTTATACAAGGAACTGTTGGACTGTGTGGAATTAGATGTTTGTTTTTTCGTGCATTTTTAAACCTTGCATAGGGAGAAATACGTGTGTATCCTAGGCCAAATCAAATTCATTTTGCTTCATAAATGTATGTATTTCATAATCCAGCTGGCAGGCGTCCACTCCACCACAGTGACCACTCTCCCCGATGGAACCTTCGACCTGAAACAACTCGAGTCTAAAATCCGACACGGTTTTCCCGATCCTCACTATCCACGGTCCAGGCTCATCTGTGTGGAGAACACCCACAACATCCAGGGAGGACGCGTGCTGCCGCTCAGCTTCCTCAAGGAGGTACGGACCACTAAAACTTTTATGTTTAAAAATATATAGTTTAAATGCTGTTTAAAGTGTTAAAATGCAGATGTTTTAACCGTATGTCTGTAATTACTGGGCCTATTCACATGAAACTAAAACTGGTACAAAGCTCAGCATCTTTCCTGTCATCGTAAATAAAATAGTTTAAAATTTCCATCACAATTCAGAACGTTTTTCATACGGTGAGTTTGTGGATCTGCCCCCTTAAGATTCAGAAATAATCATCTTGTCAGTTATGGATCTGTGACACTCATAATTTCAGGTGGAGGGCTGGAGTCTGATTCATCAACCGGTTTCACTTCGTAGAAACCGTCTGACCCCGCAGCATTAGGATTTGTTCGCTCGACGATAGGTAGTTTTATTTACCGTATTTTCCGGGCTGTTAGACGCGCTCTTAAGCCTCTAACCGCATCAAAAAAACGACCACGCGCCACAATCCAGAGCGCCCCATACACGAATCTGTCATTAAAAGATCAGATACAGGAACATAGAAGGCCAAAAAATTGGATTTGGGTCACTTCAGGCTGCAGTCTGAACGCAGCCATAGACACTCGTACACTCCGCAGGTTTAGTCCTGGTTTAGACCTGGTTTAGACCTGGTTTAGTCCTGGTTTAGTCCTGGTTTTAGACCTGGTTTAGACCTGGTTTAGTCCTGGTTTAGACCTGGTTTTAGACCTGGTTTTAGACCTGGTTTAGACCCGGTTTAGACCCAGTTTAGACCCGGTTTAGTCCTGGTTTAGACCTGGTTTAGACCTAGTTTAGACCTGGTTTAGACCTGGTTTAGACCTGGTTTAGTCCCGTTTTAGACCCAGTTTAGACCCGGTTTAGACCTGGTTTAGACTTGGTTTAGTCCTGGTTTTAGACCTGGTTTAGTGTCCGGCAATGAATGGAATTACAAAAAAAAAAAAAAAAGGGGGATATAGCCCAAAATGTAAAAACAGGTAAATCCCTCTGTGTAATCCATTTATTTTAACAAAATAACTGTAATCCAATTACCACTCACTGAAACAGTAACTGTAACTGAATACAGTTACTCATCAATTTGTACTCTGATTACATAACTCTGGTACATGTAATCTGTTACTCCACAACACTGTTAATCTTACGTCTTTAAGTCCTTTCAGCTTTCAACAATCACGTCCCTGCAGTTGTTAAGGTCACCACTTCCTGAATCTGTTGCGTAAATATCACCTTGTTTATATAAAACAGAGAAGTAAGTGCCAGTGTTTTTGTTTCATGTGGACAGGCCCAATAAGTACAGAGATACGAATCATAAACCAGGTCAACAAGTCTGCAGTCTGACAGTTAAACAGCAAATAACAAAAATAAAAACACAAAAAATGATGCATATAACCACCCCCACAACATACAGATAATAATGCTGTTAATTATATAGTTAGACATTAAAGGTGCACTGTGTAACTTCTTCAGTGGAGATCCGTCAGATGCTTGTTTCTATGGATACGTCGTTGCTCTGCCTGGAATGTTCCACGGCGTGACATTAAACAGCTCTACTTTACTTTTATTCAATCACAGGTGGTTTTAAAGCTCAAAAATACCTCGAAAAACAACATTGTGACTGTGAGCGGGGGTCGCCTCTCCGCAGATCTGACCTGTAACTTGGTCTGGTTTGGTCCTCATGAAGATAGAAAGGTTTAAAGCCACACCGTGAAACATTCCAGACAAAGCAATAACCATGGAGAAAAGCGTTTGATGGAACTTTTTAAAGGTTGTATGGAGGATTTTTTTTAGTTTCAAACTGTCAGTGAAAGATTAAAATACCATTACAGAGACGCAGCAGCTTTGTAATTATGATGACCAAAAAAAAAAAAACTAAAATCTATCAACTGTGGACGTGTTGAGGCCAGATAAACATCAGCCAATAGAAAACGAGGCTCCCTCATTTTCTATTGGCTGTTGGGTTGTCAATCAAACTCCCTAGTATAACTGACTCGTCGGAGTGCGGGGATTACGTGGTTTACGCGGCGGTTCTTAGAGGCTTTTTCGAACTGTCGCTTCCTCGCATTTCACACAAAGTTTGTCACGACGGCGGACGAGAATCCACGACCGGTTCGCCGCAAAAGAAAGTCAGTTTTTGAGGTCGCTGAAAGAAGAAGAGAAGAGGAAAAGGAGCAAAGTCTCCTGAGGTGATTCTTGGAGATCTTGTCCAGCGATGGCGCGACCGAAGCAGACGAAGCGTCTAAAAACTGACGCGTCGGTCGCTGAATTACTTCTAGACAGGAAACTTCAACAGTAATTCTGAATGCGCACAAGGACTGTCGCTGTATTTCTCTTCCCTTAAAAAAATCCTCTATACAACCTTTAAAGCAAATAAGCAAGTTTATCAGTTTAGTCTTTTGCTGAGTAATTGTTTTTGTGTTCCTCAGCTGCGCAGTTTGGCGGATAAGTACGACCTGAAGGTTCACATGGACGGGGCCAGAGTCATGAACGCCGCAGTGGCTCTGGGAGTGTCCGTCAAAACGATTCTGCAACACACGCACACAGTCAGCGTGTGTCTGTCCAAGGTAAGGCAAAGATCTAATTTCAGTCATTTCAAGCAGAGGTGGGTAGAGTTAAAGCTGATGCACACTACAGGATTTTTCAGTCTTAAACGATTTTTAAATGTGTAACAAAAAGCACACACCACAGACTCGAGGACAATCTTCTAAAATTTTAAATCTCTGATCACAAAGACTGCAGCGGGATTTGTCACAGGATATAATAGGGGTGTCAAATTACAGCGTTAATTGCGATGAATTAATTACAGTCATATTTAGAGCGTTATGTTTTTTAATCGCGTTAATCTTATTTTTAATCTCTAACTTTACTGTTTTTGTACGCGAGTTGCCTTATTATAAAATCTGTTTTTATGTGTTGTTAGGACACAGTCTCGCACTGTGCAGTCCTGCTCCGCTCGCTCCCGCAAAGAATTGTAATTTTCATTCCCGTTCCTGCCGCGTCTGCGATAAACCTGCACACGTCTGATCTCTGAAAACATCGCGACACAAACACAGAACAGACTCACCTTCAGCATCAACATCCCTCTGTCACAGAAACATCACTCATATTCCACTGAGTCGTGTCCTTTAGTCCCACAGAAGCTGAACAGCATCAGCAACACAAGAGCATTTTTTTTTCTTTTCTCGCTTAGTTTATGCAAATTAGTCATGCGGTTTTAAGTTTTGTTTCTGTGAGACTTGTGCAAAGCTGCATTAAACACATGATAATGTCAGACGGGCTGATGTGGCTCTAGTGGTGATGGTTTATATGTCGTAAAGTTGAATTTATTTATGCAGATTAGTAACAGTAATAATAATAATGATACTTATATAAAAATGTTAATGATAGTATGAAAATAATGTAATAATTAATTCAAATGAAAATACCTCAAGTTGAGGCTTTTCTCAGCAATTTTTTGGTGAGATTAAAAAAGAGATTAATTTGATTAATTAATTACAGATCATAATTAATCTCTCCATTTTTTTAATCACTTGACAGCACTAGGATATAAAGTTGTGAGCGCGATCGCGTCAGATGTTTCCTGTCTAAAGTAAAACCTCTCGCTCTGAGACTTAAGTGTTCAAAGATCAGAGCTCTGCACTTCTAGTTTTGATACAAGTCAAAACTGTGTTGTTATTATTATTTGTGAAATGTGGATCAATACTTGAGGTTTATATGACGACGGTCTGAACAGAAGTGTTAGACAAGTGTTTTCAGGAGGAAATGGATTAGATTTGTAATGCAATGCGGGTACTGTGCAATTATTGCTTATATTGTACAGGAAATGAGAAGTCTGTATGTGTTCTTTGTTCATTTGGGAAGGTATAAAAAAGGAGTGGGGTTAAATAAATATTTACTTCCTCCCACTCCTTTGTCGGAAATTCAGTGTAACATTTATTTTGCCTGTTATCATAGAATAGAAATATTTACTTTTTGTGTTATATCTATGAATTTACATTTTTATTTATGTTTTATGTATTACTGTCCGAATAAATATTCATTCATTCATTCAAATCTGCGTGCATACGGTGACGCAGAAGTGTGTGGAATTCGTTTGGCTATGCTTGCTGTCTGACGCGAGATAATTGCAGATCCTTCTCTGTTCACTAATCGTATCTCTGCAGATTCTCTACATTTGTTGGGAGCCTCCTGTGAGTTTATTAGAGCTGCCATGTTTGTTTGTGATGTAAACACGTACGCGACCTGAGCAGATCTGACCAGAGTTTTGCGTCTTGGGCAGTGTAGACGGAAACACTACGGCAGAGCGTACTCAACTTTTCCACTCTGGAGGGTTTCAGATTTTTGCATTTTTAAGCCCCAAAAACGCCGTCACCGTCTAAACGAAAGACACTTCCGATAAAATATTTTGACGTTTTTACCTGTAAGTGTTCTCATGTGAACAGGGCCTCAGATATATGATTTTTAATGCACAGAAGCATGCATCCCCCTACTGAAACTACTGCACATTGCATCAGGTTTGTGAAGTTGTAGTGTATTGTTTTGTATCATGCTCCTGTACATTGTTATCATATTCCTTCATGAATAAATTGCTGTATGGGTTAAGTAGGCTTGTGGGCGGAGCCTCGTACAAGCTTGTACTGCTAACTGTCAGGAGGGTTCAAGTAGGGCTCGAGAGAGATCACTAGATTACCCAAACATGCATGGATGACTTAAAAAAAACAACAACACTTCAGACATGTATTTGATGAGGGATTTGAGTGAGAAAGTTCAAAATAATACCCACTCGTTCTTTGTGGAGGTGTTATTACTTTGTCTGGAATGTTCCACAGTGCGGCATTAAACCTTTCTGTCTGTGTGTGACCAAACCAGATCAAGTTACAGGTCAGATCTGTGGAGAGGCGACCCCGCTCACAGTCAGAATGTTGTTTTTCTAGGTATTTTGAGCTCTAAAACCACCTGTGATTGAATAAACGGACAGACCGCCAACCAAAAAGTTCAAACAGTTTGATCTGGTAAAGATTTTATAACATTTTTATAACATTTTCTCCTCAGGGTCTCGGGTCTCCGGTCGGCTCCGTTCTGGCCGGTCCCAGCGAGTTCATCTCCAGAGCGGCGAGGTGTCGGAAGGTTTTGGGAGGAGGCATGAGGCAGGCTGGGATTTTAGCTGCAGCTGGAAAACTGTCTTTACTGAAGATGGTGAACAGACTGGAGGAGGACCACAAGGAACGCCAAAATATTCGCTCAAGGTTTGGTTTATTTATAGGTCCTATATTACGCAGACTTTAGCTTTAAATGTTGCTGTTACCTCGATAAAAACAGCTGGAGTTGTGTTTTATTTTATTCCCACATGTTTTAAGTAATCCTTTATTATTAGTCTGTCTACATACCGTATTTTTTGGACTATAAGTTGCACTTTTTTTTTCATGGTTTGGGTGTTTCCTGCGACTTCTATATTAAAATGTTTGAGTGAAGTGTGGAGAGGTTCTAGTCTTGTGTGTGAGTATCTGCTGCTCCTGTTCCTCCTGCACCACTGTCACTTGGCTCTACTGCGCATGTCTCCTGCAGAAAGAGCCTCTGTCCTGTCTGTATCATGTCAGTCGATCGCACCATTACTTCTGCACCACTGAACAATTTAACATTTAAACAAACTTATAAAGACAAAGACTGAGAAGACTGAACACAAATGAACCCAAAAACAAAATCAGATTTTGCAGATTACAAACTGCAAGTCGTGAAATCTGCAGCTGAAAACGATAATCGAGCAGCAGAAAGAAAGTTTGGAGTGAGAGAGAAACTTGTGACAGCGGGAGGATGCACCATGAAACTTTCCTGAAGTCACTGGATGGATGGACAAAGTCTGGACTTCAGTGACACCGAAACCATCCTGTCGGGATTCAGAAAGACCCGAATAATTCTAACTGGAACTGATGCTGAGTCTGACGCCAGCGACACAGAAGAGTTTGCGTCGCTCTGTTTACCTCCGGAGGTCGAGGAGTTGTTCAGAAGTGACACCGAGGATGAAGAATTGAATGGATTTAGTGATTTGGAGTGAGATGGAGAGTTTGTTAAACTTGTTCTGTTCTGTTGTTTATGTTATAGTTTATCTGAAGAACTGTTCATATGTGACGTTAACAGTCTGTTGTTCTCTCTTCTATTGTTTTTATTACAACTTGACTTTCAACAGGAAATATTAGTTCCTGTTTCCCCCAAAAAGTGCGACTTATATATGTTTTTTTCTTCTTCATTATGCATTTTTTGGCTGGTGAGACTTGTACTCCAGAGCGACTTATAGTCCAAAAAATATGGTACCTAAAGCTCAAAATGCTCTGTTCCAACTCATGAAGCAGTCGTTTCAAGTGATCAGCCACATTTTACCTTTAATTCAGTAGAGATTGGCAATTCTAAACAGGCATTCTGCTCGCCTCTCCACACATCTGACCTGTAACGGTGGCAGACCTTCCGCATCACGCTTTTTCAAATCATACTAATTCTGTTTTCTTCTTTCCCTTCAGCTCTGCTCGACTGCTCCTCGGACCTCTTCTCTGTCGACATGTCCGCGGTGGAGACCAACATCGTGAGGTTCAGACTCGATCCCGGTCTGAGCCCCGCCGAGTTCTGCGCTCGCATGTCTGACGTCCAGCAGGGGGAGCAGTCCGCGCTGGGACAGGCCGTGCAGGTCCTGATGTACCCGCACTTCGAGAACTCTGTGAGAGCCGTGTGGCACCTGGACGTCTCCACTGAAGACACCCACTGGGCCGTAAAGAAGATGCAGTTTGTGGCCGCACGGATCATGGAGGAGAGGAACAAAGCTTAGTTTAAATTAAAATGGGCCAATATTACGCTATTTTCTGATCTCTTATGATGTAGTTTCCTCATCACAAACAGACCTGGAGTTGTGTTTTGTTTTGTTTCATTCACACACGTTTAACACACAAACCCTGCAACACTCTGTTCCACCTTGTGATGTCACGTGGTAATACATTCAGCCTGGAATTGCCTGGATTCTCTAACTGAACTAAAAGTAAAACGCAGCTGTTGACTTGAAAACTGCCGCTTCATGACATCACAAGGTGGAACAGAGCGTTTTGAGCTTCGGAGATGTAGACAGATTAATAATAAAGAGTTGCTCAAACGTGTGAATGAAACAAAAACACAACTCCATTCTGTGTTAAAGTGACAATATGTAACTTTCTGGGTGTGGAAAGTCAACTGCTGATTCCATGGAAATAGAAAGTGAAACTAAACACTGAATCAACTCAATCTATTTTTCACTACTTAATTGTATATATGATGTTTGCATAGCTGTTCCTGATTCCTTTTGGCATTTTTTGTGCTAATTAGGTAAATCTGCAGATTTTTTGTAAAAAATAAATAAAAATTGTGTCCTGGCTTTGGCGACCACTGCAGTTTTTAGTACTTGGTGACATCACGCAGAACTGCCCTGATTGCAGCCAGGAGTTTCTGATTATAACCTCCTGGATGTAGTTTAAGTGAGACCAGTCACAGTTCTTATACAGCTCACATTCTCTCCCTTTCCTCGAGAATCCAGAGAGATTCTCTGGAGATTCTATATTTCTGGGTTGAGAAGGTTTCAGCTCTGGGAGGCGCCACTGGGACGTGGAGGAGGTTTGGTTTGGTTTGTAGGTGTCGCTAAAGAGTCAACAGGGAAACAAAGAATCTTCTTTGGCCAGAATCAGGATTTTGGTATTTAGGACACATCACAGATAAATACTTCACTCTGCTTGGGATCATGGGGAAATTAAAACAAAAACCCCAGAAAGTCCAAGTCCAGTTAGACTTCTTTTATTTACTTCAAACCAGGACTAAACCAGGACCAAACCAGGACTAAACCAGGACCAAACCAGGACTAAACCAGGACTAAACCAGGACCAAACCAGGACTAAACCAGGACCTAAACCAGGACTAAACCAGGACCAAAAACCAGGACTAAACCAGGACCAGGACTAAACCAGGACTAAACCAGGACCTAAACCAGGACTTTGGAGGATAAACCAGGACTAAACAGGACTGGATCCAGGATAAACCAGGACTGGGCTTTTACCAACACCAGGACTAAACCAGGACCAGGACAAGTCTGAGGACACCAGTGTCTCACCAGTAATTTTGGGAAAAACAAAACTGCTCAGTGTCAATAAAAATATAACTAGTATATTTTAAGATGATGTCTTGTGATTTGTGGTGAGTTTTGTGATTTAAAATTGTGAAATGTCCCAGCACTTGTGAATATAATGCAGAGAGACTGGAGGTGCACAGAGCTGTTCACTCAACATTCTCTCACTGCTTCTACAATTCAAGTGATCAAATATATTTGTATATTTACTTTTTCTGCTTTGTCTTTTTATCGTCAAGACAAATAATTCTGTGCACGAGGGAGCACATTTAGTTATTCTGACATCAAACAGCTTTTACACACACACTACACTAAAACTAGGTCAATTGTTTGTGCTGCAAAATGTTTCAATGAAGCACAAACGACTGACACCATTTGGGGCATTTTTTGGAAGATTTTGAAGTTTCCTGAGGGGCTGGGTGACCCCAAATAAGACCTATAAAAGAATCAATAATATTTGAAAACTTTTCCCAGCACAAAAGAAGCACAAACAGTGACAGAATATTTTTGTAGGTGTGTGTTTGAAGGGGGAGGCGGCTAAGACAGTGTCACATTCAGCTTTAGTTTTCCACAGTGTAACCTTCAGGAAAACCAGTTAGTGCAGTTTTTATTATTTTATTTTGATCTCATCAGTGAAGCGTTCAGTCTGCGTGAACATGTCTCTGAAAACACTCCTGACCAGGTTCACACATCATGGACTCTTCAGACTCGCTGGAGCTTCAGGACAGAGGTCCTGGACCGGGGACTACCACAGCACCCCAAAGCCCAACTGGAGCACCGCCGATCGGGTAGTGGACCTCCGCACCGACGCTGTGACCAAACCCGGTCCCGAGATGCGCAAAGCCATGAGCGAAGCCGAGGTGGGGGACGCTTCGATCGGAGAGGACCCCACAGTGAACGGTAAGAACCGACGACATAGTGTTCATAGGGATGTAAAGATATCGAAGTCTCATGAGGCGATATCGTCACGGTATGAACCTCATGGTACGATATTTATTGCGATATCGTGGTAAAACTCACAATATGGTGGGGAGGCCCACAATATTACGATATTATACATAATAACAACATCAACATTATAAAATGCTACGACCAGTCATTTGGTACAACATTTATTGTCATATTCATATCAGTGACATTTTAAACAGCTTGAAAAGCCTTTGATGTTGAAGTGCAAACTTCAGGTAACAACTAAACAATTGTAATAAAACTCTGGACAGCTCTTGAAGTCCACACATCAGTGGGTGAGATGCTTAAGTCCCTGTAGTACATCGGTCTTTGGCTGTAAACAGCAGGGAACACCGTAAGGTGCATTTAAAATCCTTTAATTTTCTTAAAAATCGACAGTGCGCCTTATAATCCGCTACACTTTATGTATTAATTCTGGTTGTGTTTACTCACCTCAAATAATTTTTTTGTGGTACACAGCGCTCAAAAATCTGTCAAACTGTTTTAGTACAACTTTGGTAAACTACGAAGCTGCACTGCTGGGTGGATTGTCGGAGCATCAGAGCGACTGTAGCCAGGAGCCTCGAGGAGTCGTGTCCTTCAGTCCGACAGATACTGAACTGTATCAGCACATGAGGAGCGAGCTGTTTTTTTCAGCGCTTATGCAAATGAGCCATGTGGCTTTAAGTTTGTTTCTGTAAAATGTAAACAAATGTGCACAAAGCTGCATTAAACACATTATTACTCAATCCTCCTTGTAGGAAATTTAAAAAACAAAGTTAAATGCGATGGCATTTTATATTTCAGCTCCAGTTTAACCTTTTAAACCCAACGCCGTCCACCGTGGGAAATGGGTGCAAATCACTCGCTGTATATTCTGCTATGTCCCAACTTGACTTTCTGAACACATTCTTGAAAGTTTTTGGCGTGTTGGTTTATCACGTGACTTCTCATGTTGTAGTGTTTCCCGAGGTGAACCGCACGGTGCGTTGTGTTTGCACACAGTCTGTCTGTTGTCACCTTTTCTCTTTTCTCATCTCGTGTCACGGCAAACACAAAATGCTTTTAGACCTCAGACTTAAAAGTCGCTGGTGCGTCAACAACGGGCCCACTGGCCGATGACGCGGCTGCAAAGGATTATGGTCCATGTAGTTTAGTTTAGTCTGCGCCACAGGAGAGGACTGAAAATTCTTCTTTTTGCGTAATATATCGTGATATTGCGAATATTGTTAATATTTTTAAAGGTGCATTATGTAACTTTTTTACTTCCATGTTATAATGTTCCCTCATCAGAAACATACCTGCAGGTTTCAGATCCGCCCATGCATGTTAATATGTTGTTTCCAGTAAAAGGTAACACGTGATCTGAGTGTGTTGTGTGTGAGCAGTTAATCCTCCATCGATGTGTAATACCTCCTTAAAAAAACAAACTAAAAACTGGAATTACTACACAGCACTGTACTACTGTACCAGCCCTTATTTTTCTTTACTCTATCTCTATATCTCCTTTTATTTTCTCAAGTGAGCTCACCCCTTTACTTTTTCTCTCTTTTTTTCAACTTCAACATACTTGTTATTAATGTTTTGGACCTATAATCTTACATTTAAAAATGTTTAAAATGTATGTATGCTGTAAATAAATACAAATAATATAATTAAAAAAAACTGTGATAACATTAGTATTTTTTTTTATATTTCTTTCCACAGAGTTAGAAAGTTTGGCGGCTGAAATGTTTGGGATGGAGAACGCTCTGTTTTTGCCCTCAGGAACTATGAGCAACTTGATCGCAGGTATCACAATACTACAATACTACAGTACTACAATACTGCAATACACACAATACACACAAAAATACATTTACAAAGCTCATATTCTTAAGAAGTTGTGTTTATATTTAGGGGTGGTAGAGGAGCCAAATATTGTACTCAAGTAAGAGTCATGTTACTTCAAAATAATTTTACTTTAAAGTGCATTGTGTAACTTTTCAGGTGGAGGGTCTGTCAAACGCTTTTCTCCATGGTCATAGTCAGAGGCCTGTCCCACATGTTCAGGAGACTGTTCCAGGATTTAGCTGCATGAGTCTGAAAGTCTGACTCCCCAAGTTTAGTCCTGACTCTGGGCACCAGCAGGAGACCGGGTCTAAACCAGGACTAAACCAGGACTACAGCAGGAGGCCGGTTCCTGAGCTCCTCACAGTGCAGATGGTTCATGTGGCTCTAACATGTCACAGATGGACTTTGGTGCTCGGCCCATGGAGAGACTTGTTCAAGCAGAGACGCTTTAAAGTCTCTGAGCCACAGGGGGCAGTGCAGAGACCTGAGCACCGGACGCATGTGCTCGTACTTCCTAGTCGGGCTGCAGCGTTCTGGATGGACCTTTAAGTACGGCTTTACTTAAAGGTCCTATATTACACAAAATGGAGGCTTGTGAGGTTTAAGCCGTGTTATAATGTGATTACCTCATCAAAAACAGACCTGGAGTTGTGTTATGTTTCATTCACACGTTTCAGTAACACTTTATTATTAGTCTGTCTACATCTCCAAAAGCTCAAAATGCTCTGTTCCACCTTGTGATGTCATTCAGTTAACAGCTAACTTTTAGTTCAGTAGAGATATCAGGCAATACCAGGAAATTATCCAAACTAGTGCACAGCCCGCAGAAGATCAGTTCAGAAGTTGTCATGTGTTAAACATCCATCCATTTTCTTCTGCGTACCTGGGGCCGGGTCGCGGGGCAGCAGTCTGAGCAGGGACTCCCAGACTTCCTTCACCCCGGACACTTCCTCCAGCTCTTCATATCTAACATGGTTTCATCTCTAAGTCCTTTCAGTCATTACCCAGAGCTCATGACCACAGGTGAGGGGAGAAACATAGACTGACGGTAAATCGAGAGCTTTGCTTTTCGACTCATCTCCCTCTTCATCACAACGGTTCGATACAGCGACGGCATCACTGCCGACGCTGCACTGCAGCAGCACTGCATCCAGTGGAGGAGTTCAAGTATCTCAGGGTTTTGTGTTAAACGTGTGTGAATGAAACAAAACACAACTCCAGGTCTGTTTGTGATGAGGAAACTACCTTAGAACACAGACCCGAAAACAGCGTAATATGAGCCCTTTATTTTTTTTGTATTTTTATTTGATTTGATTTATTTATTTATTTCGGTCACAGGTATATTTTGACATTAATTCACAATCAGTCATATTTAACATATACAGACCGAAAAGGTGCAGGCTGAAGCTTAAGCTTATTCTGCCCTTTACCCTTTATTCCTTTGTCAGAGCTTCATCTTGACATCAGTTCATCTTCAAAAATACAGCAGGAGGAAACAAACTAATCAGTAACAGAACAACAAAGTCCTACAGCACAAACGAAGTATCATATTTCACGTATCTGTCCAGAGTTAAACATTTAAACTTCTTTATGAGGTGAAAGAAAGTGGTGCACAATTTTAGGTTTTCTGTACATTTGTTCCACAGCTCCACCTCTTTAACAGATTTACAAAATTTCATAATGTTTGTTCTGATTTTCATTTTTAATAAACATGGTCGTGCCTCTGAGCTCAGATCGGCTCTTTCGGATTTTGAACATGTTCTGTAACGATTTTGACAGGAGATTGTTGTTTACTTTGAACATGATTTTCAGAGTATAAAGGTAAAGACTAAATCATAAAATTTCAGCGTTTGAAGGTTTATAAATAACGCATTGGTTGGTTCGTTATAAGTTGATAATGTTTTTGCTCTTATTGCCTTTATTTGCAGGGTAAAAACTGGCTTTGTATTAGTCTTATATGTATTGCCCCAAATCTCAATAAAGAAGAAATTAAGAAATCTTAATGAATATAATATAAGTCAGTTGTGTTTTTTACAGTTATGGTGCACTGCAGAGAGAGAGGAGACGAGATGATAGTTGGAGATAAGTCGTATTTGCAGGTTTTCCAGCAAGGAGGAAGCGCACAGGTGAGGAAAAAGTCAAAGGATGGAAGCCTCACTGCGTTAAAATGTAGGACAGATCTGACTTTTTGAAATGTGACCCAGACCATTTGGATATGTGCTCCTGAAACCAATACATATCTGATCTTTGGACATGTGACTTCAGTCTGAACGGTCAGGTCACATTCATCCCACCTACACGTCAGGCTCAGAGTCTCGTCAATGGAGGGAAAGCGAGGTTAGAGAGTTTATTAATATTTGGGGGGGATCACTGTATTCAGGACAAATTGGAGACGTTTTATCGGAACTGGGCCAAAGAAATGTCCGAGCGCGGCTACAGACGGTCCTGACTCCAGTGTCAACGAAAAATAAAGAGTCTGTGAGCCAAATACAAGGAGGATAAAGACTCAAACAAACGAAGCGGCCGTGGACGTGTAACCTGAACATTTTACCAACAACTGGACCGTATTTTGGGAGAGAAGCCCAGAGTTTAGGCGACTTCCTTAAACACTGAGCACATTTGCTTCATGTGACGCCGTCGTGTTCTTCAATGCTCATGCGGGACACTTTTGGGGCGTTTAAAGTTCACACTGGAGATCACACACAAGTCACATTTAATTCCCTCTGCCAAGGAAGTTATGTTTTTGCCGGCATTTGTCTGTTTGTCTGTTTGTTTGTTTGTTTGTCTGTTAGCAACATAACTCAAAAAGTTATGGACCGATTTTGATGAAATTTTCAGGATTTGTTGGAAATGTGAAAAGGAAGAAGTGATTTCATTTTGGGGGCTGATCCGGAAGAAATCCTGGATTCTGGATCACTTTGAAATTTTAGTTAACATTGTGGTAAATGGGGCCAAAAATTTTGTTTCTCAATATCTCGGTTAATTATTGACCAAACCCCATGAAATTTGACTCAGGGATGGACAATGGGATCCTCTTTCATATTCCAAAGGCTGATCCGGATCTGATCCAGAAGACTGATTTTATCGCAATTTATATAAAAAATGGGGGTAGTCCTTGGCGGAGGTCTGCGCTCTCTGACTGCTTTTCTAGTTTGACATGTGACTTCAGTCTGAACGGTCAGGTCACATTCATCCCACCTACACGTCAGGCTCAGAGTCTCGTCAATGGAGGGAAAGCGAGGTTTGGGGGGGATCGCTGTATTCAGGACAAATTGGAGACGTTTTATCGGAACTGGGCCAAAGAAATGTCCGAGCGCGGCTACAGACGGTCCTGACTCCAGTGTCAACGAAAAATAAAGCGCCTGCGAGTCAAACACAAGGAGGATAAAGACTCAAACAAACGAAGCGGCCGTGGACGTGTAACCTGAACATTTTACCAGGAACTGGACCGAATTTTGGGAGATAAGCTCATTGTTTTAGATGACCTCTGTAAACACTGAGCGCGCTTGCTTCATGTGACGCCGTCGTGTTCTTCAATGCTCATGCGGGACACTTTCGGGGCATTTAAAGTTCACACTGGAGATCACACACAAGCCATATTTAATTGGAAATGTGAACGACCTCGCAAAAAAAATCATATTTCACCAAAAAAATCCAAATTGAGCATTAATCCCTGCAGTCTGAACATAGCCTGGGTCACATTTGAAAAAAAATCGGTCATTAAAAGATCAGATACAGGTCACATACGGGTTAAAAAAACTGATTTGGGTCATTTCAGGCTGTAGTCTGAACGTCGCCAAAGATGTAATTATTTTGTGATTAAATGTAAGTTAAAGTTGCAAATTTGGGGGTCCATTACCTGCTTGTTTTTGCCTGGAATGTTCCACAGTGTGTCATTAAACAGCTCAACCTTAAATTTATTCAATTACAAGTGGTTTTATAGCTCAAAAATACCTAGAAAAACAGACATTTGGACTCACTTCTCCACAGATCTGACCTGTAACTTGGTCTGATTTGGTCTCTGAGATAGAAAAGTTTAATCCCAGACTGTGAAGAATTCCAGACAATTACACAATGCGCTTTTAATCTCGTCCCTAGATAGCAAACGTCCACTCCACCACAGTGACCACTCTCCCCGACGGGACCTTCGACTTGGACCAACTCGAGTCCAAAATCCGACACGGTTTTCCCGATCCTCACTATCCACGGTCCAGGCTCATCTGTGTGGAGAACACCCACAACATCCAGGGAGGCCGCGTGCTGCCGCTCAGCTTCCTCAAGGAGGTACGACACCAACGCACTGCTTCCCTGACCAGCCAGTCCCGTCCAGGTTCTGTTCAAATCCAAACAGGACTCGAACTGGACCACAGAGCCTGAAAAACCTCTGTCCAAATCACGTGTCTCTTAAATCCAGAAGACATCTCCACTTGAAAACTGTCAAAAAAAAGTTTGGTGCTTTGATTTCGCTCTGTTTCTCTGTCCTTTTATGTCGATTTTTATCCTTTTTTTTTTTTTTAAATGCATAAGCAGCAGTTTATTTTTGACACAAACGGAGCATGCTTCTCTCTGATTGGTTAATCCAACTGTCAATCACGCTCTCTGGAATCAGCTCCAGATCCACTCTTCTTTGTAACTTTTTGTCAAAGAGTGTGGCTCTGACTGGACAAGTATGCATCTCATGGTACCATATTTATTCTGGGTTCCCACTCTTTTTTCTGACAAAATTTCAAAACTTTTCCATAACTTTTTCGTGACCTACGGTGAATTTTCCATGACTTTACGGCACCTACGTGTGCAGAACTGATCAGACTTTCAGGGCTAAATATGAAATGTTAACTCTTTCCACTCACCTTATGGTTTGGGATTATAGTTTTTTTTGACATTTAAAATCCTGTCAGTGCATTTATTGTCGTCTCTTTTAAACAAAAGGTGCAGACGTTCGAAAATAATCCTAACAGCCTCATGAGAACTGAACAGAACGCTGTCGTTACTTAATTTTAGAGATACAAAAATTCCATGACTTTTCCAAAACTTTCATTGAATTTACAAAATTCCATGACTTTTACAAGCCTGGAAAATGACATTTTCAATTTCCATGACTTTTCCAGGATTTCCATGATCATGGGAACCCTGTTTATCACAATATGTTGCGGAAGCTACAAAGTTGTGAATATGCTGCTTTTTCTTTTAAAATGCCTTAATGCAAAGATCCAAGGAATTAAGTTTTTTTTTATTTCTTCTTGTAGTCTGCACGGAAACAGCAAAGGATCATGGTCTATGTAGTTTTATGTATTTTGTTTAGCTATTGCAGCACCATAATCAATGAATTTAAGCACAGAGATATATTGTGATGACCCAGTTATAGTTAAATCTCTGCTCAGTGGTTTCCTGATCATCCAGTCCCTTCGACATTCTGTTTGAATCCAACCTCAGTCCAACCACAGCTGCACGTCTGTATCACGTGTCTCTCAAATGCGGAGAAAAATCTTTATCATCTAAATACAATAATCAGTCAACTAATACAACGTTTGGTTCAAATTACAGACAGTTGACTAAGTTCTGGTTGTGGCTGTGTTCTTCAGGTGCGTAGTTTGGCGGATAAGTACGACCTGAAGGTTCACATGGACGGGGCCAGAGTCATGAACGCCGCGGTGGCTCTGGGAGTGTCCGTCAAAACGATTCTACAACACACACACACGGTCAGCGTGAGTCTGTGCAAGGTACCGTACGACCTCTGCTTCATCTGACCCGCTCCTCTTCATCTTCTGCTCCATCTGACCCTCTTCCCTTCATCCTCTGCTCCATCTGACCCTCTCCTCTTCATCCTCTGCTCCATCTGACCCTCTCGTCTTCATCTTCTGCTTCATCTGACCCTCTCCTCTTCATCCTCTGATCCATATGACACACTTCTCTTTTTCTTCTGCTTCATCTGACCTTCTCCTTTTCTTCCTCTGGTCCATATGACCCTCTCCTCTTCATCCTCTGGTCCATATGACCCTCTCCTCTTCATCCTCTGCTCCATCTGACCCTCTTCTCTTCTTCCTCTGCTCCACCTGACCCTCTCCTCTTCATCTTCTGCTCCATCTGACCCTCTTCCCTTCATCCTCTGCTCCATCTGACCCTCTCGTCTTCATCTTCTGCTTCATCTGACCCTCTCCTCTTCATCCTCTGATCCATATGACACACTTCTCTTTTTCTTCTGCTTCATCTGACCTTCTCCTTTTCTTCCTCTGGTCCATATGACCCTCTCCTCTTCATCCTCTGGTCCATATGACCCTCTCCTCTTCATCCTCTGGTCCATATGACACACTTCTCTTTTTCTTCTGCTTCATCTGACCTTCTCCTTTTCTTCCTCTGGTCCATCTGACCCTCTCCTCTTCATCCTCTGCTCCATCTGACCCTCTCTCTTCATCCTCTGCTCCATCTGACCCTCTTCTCTTCATCCTCAGCTTCATTTGACCCTCTCCTCTTCTTCCTCTGGTCCATCTGACGCTCTTCTCTTCATCTTTTGCTCCATCTGATCCTCTTCTCTTTTTCTTCTGCTCCATCTGACTTTCTTCTCTTCTTCTTCACCTCCATCTGACCTCTTTATATATTTTCTCCTCAGGGTCTTGGGTGTCCGTTCGGCTCCATTCTGGCCGGCCCCAGCGAGTTCATCTCCAGGGCGGTGAGATGTCGTCACGTTCTGGGAGGCTCCATGTGTCAAATTGGGATTTTAGCTGCAGCCGGAAAACTGTCTTTACTGAAGATGGTGACCAGACTGGAGGAGGACCACAGGAACGCCAAAACATTCGCTCAAGGTTTGTCTCAACACACGACCGAGCTGCAGAGAGTGGGGAAAAAAAAGCACGAATCCTTCACTCTGATGACACTTTCTGTTACAGAGACTAATGTCAAACAGAGGAGAAAACACAGTCCTCCTTTAACCGATATTGGTGTTGTTTTGGAACACAGTAGATCCACCTCTGACACCAGAAGAGGACAACCTGCTGTTTATCTTTTGGCAGGGAAAATTAGTCTAAGGCTGCGTTCAGACTGCAGCCTGAAGTGACCCAAATCCGAATTTTGGCTTCTATGTTCCTGTATCTGATCTTTTAATGACAGTCTGAATGACACAGATCCGATTTTTTCAAATGTGACCCAGGACACTTGGATATGTGCTCCTGAAACTGATACATATCTGATCTTTTGACATGTGACTTCAGTCTGAACGGCCAAAGTGCATTCATCCACCTACACGTTATCAACAAGCCACAAACGTCACTATTCTGCGCTGAAGTAGGAGAAAATTGTTAATGAACTCCGTGTCACTGAAGTGAAGCACATCACCACTCACCACTCTTGGCTCCGTCTCCACATCCACACGTTCCTTTCAACGGACGTCGCTGCCGCTGCCCCACAAAACACCACGACCAAAAACCTCGTCCTTCTCCTTCTCAATCTCCTCCTTAAAACAAGTAAGTTGTTCATGTTCTGGCTCCGGTACGAGAGGAACTTTAAAATCTCCAGGTGCTCGATGCTGCGTCCATGTTTGGACAACTTCTGTAAACACAGAGACGCTCGCTGCGGTTGACGTCGTCGTGTCTCCAGTGTCACATGTGGGACACTTTTGGACCGTTTACTGTTCACACAGGGGTTCGCATACAAGTCGCATTTAATTTGAAATGTGAAAGACCTCGCAAAAACATCGGATTTCACACAAAAAAAATCGGAATTGAGCGTTAAGCCCTGCAGTCTGAACGTAGCCTATGGAACAATTTCAACTGTTCAACTGTTACATTACTAAAAAAAGTAATACCTTACTTTGTAACTGCCCAACACCAGTTAGCACTACTTCCTCAGGCCAATCTCTGCCACGGTTTAATCCTGGTTTAGTCCTAGTTAAGTCCTGGTTCAGAGCCTGGTTCAGCTCCTGGTTTAGTTTTGGTTTAGCCCTGGTTCAGACCTGGTTCAGTCCTGGTTCAGTCCAAGAACAATACACTACCTCTAGATGTCTGACAGTTGTTAATACTTGCTGAATAAAATGTAAAAAACCCACAAGAACGACCATAGAAAGAAACTCACGTCAGAGCCGTGCATTCAGATACAGTGGACCGTGTGCGTCCATGATTGGCTGATCCACCTGTCAATCACACTCTGAACTCAGGGAGATTTACCGGTGACCAGGCTCACTTCTGTGAGAGGATCACGGGTTAATACGAAAACCAAAACGAAGATCAAAATGACGAGGCTCACAGCAGCAGTTACAGAGACAGGGTTTTTTTTATTGTAAAGTCAATTGTAACCAAGGTTAATGGAGCCGAAAACACGCCCATGCTCACTTCCCATTTGTAAGTCTATGAGCTGAACTGAAATTAAATCAATCTATTTTCTTCTTTCCCTTCAGCTCTGCTCGACTGCTCCTCGGACCTCTTCTCTGTCGACATGTCCGCGGTGGAGACCAACATCGTGAGGTTCAGACTCGATCCCGGTCTGAGCCCCGCCGAGTTCTGCGCTCGCATGTCTGACGTCCAGCAGGGGGAGCAGTCCGCGCTGGGACAGGCCGTGCAGGTCCTGATGTACCCGTCCTTCGAGAACTCTGTGAGAGCCGTGTGGCATCTGGACGTCTCCACTGAAGACACCCACTGGGCCATAAAGAAGATGCAGTATGTGGCCGCACGGATCATGGAGGAGAGGAACAAAACCCCTTGACTTAAATCCAGTTTTTAATGTCTAACCTGCTTCTAAAGTCACGTCTGGCAGAGATCCACCTCGAGCTTATTTCCACGGAGATATTCTCATTTTAATTGTATTCTTTGTACAGTGTCTTTGAGAAAATAAATAAATAAAATGCATTATTATTATTTTTATTATTTGAACAGGCTTCTTATAATTCAAAAACAATGACACCTTGTACCGCCTATATTTTTTTTTACAACTTTATAATTTATAATGTTTGCAAAAAATTTAAGGCTGCACAATATTGAGATTTTTTTATTACTTTATTATTTATTTTATTTTTTAAATTTTTAACTTGTACATTTACATTTATATAATTATGCTTTATTTGACACCAGTGTCTTGGTCTTTTTTGCTACTTATTTAGAATTTATTATTACCATTTATGTTTTTTTCTCTTTGTTATATTATAGTGTGATAGCCCTGGTTCAGTCCAAGGTTTAGTCCTGGTTTAGTCCTGGTTTAGCCCTGGTTCAGTTCTGGTTCAGACCCGGTTTAGACCTGGTTTAGCCCTGATTCAGACCTGGTTTAGACCTCGTTTAGCCCTGGTTCAGTCCAAGGTTTAGCCCTGCTTCAGTCCTGGTTCAGTCCTGGTTTAGCCCTGGTTTAGTCCTGGTTCAGTCCTGGTTCAGTCCTTGTTTAGTCCTGGTTCAGTCCTGGTTTAGCCCTGGTTTAGTCCTGGTTCAGCCCTGGTTCAGTCTGGTTTAGCCCTGGTTTAGTCCTGGTTCAGTCCTGGTTCAGCCCTGGTTTAGTCCTGGTTCAGCCCTGGTTCAGTCCTGGTTTAGCCCTGGTTTAGTCCAAGGTTCAGTCCTGGTTCTGTCCTGGTTCAGTTCCAAGGTTCAGTCCTGGTTCAGCCCTAATGTAGTCCTAGTTTAGCCCTGGCTTGGTCCTGATTCAGTCCTAGTCCAGTCCAAGGTTCAGTCTTGGTTTAGTCCTGGTTTAGACCAGGTTTATTCCTGGTTTAGACCTGGTTTAATCCTGGTTCAGTCCTGGATCAAGTCCTAGTTTAGCCCTGGTTCAGTCCAAGGTTTAGTCCTGGTTTAGCCCTGGTTTAGTCCTAGTCCAGTCCAAGGTTCAGTCCTGTTTAGTCCTGGTAGTCCTGTTCAGTCCTGGTTCAGTTTTAGTCCTGGTTCAGCCCTGGTTCAGTCTGGTTTAGTGGTTTAGTCCTGGTCCTGGTTCAGCCCTGGTTTAGTCCTGGTTCAGTGGTTCAGTCCTGGTTTAGCCCTGGTTTAGTCCTTCAGTCCTGGTTCTGTCCTGGTTCAGTCCAAGGTTCAGTCCTGGTTCAGCCCTAATTTAGTCCTAGTTTAGCCCTGGCTTGGTCCTGATTCAGTCCTAGTCCAGTCCAAGGTTCAGTCTTGGTTTAGTCCTGGTTTAGACCAGGTTTATTCCTGGTTTAGACCTGGTTTAATCCTGGTTCAGTCCTGGATCAAGTCCTAGTTTAGCCCTGGTTCAGTCCAAGGTTTAGTCCTGGTTTAGCCCTGGTTTAGTCCTAGTCCAGTCCAAGGTTCAGTCTTGGTTTAGCCCTGGTTTAGTCCAAGTCCAGTCCAAGGTTCAGTCTTGGTTTAGTCCTGGTTTAGACCAGGTTTATTCCTGGTTTAGACCTGGTTTAGCCCTGGTTCAGTCCTGGTCTAAGTTTGCATACAGAAACAAAACACTACCTCTAGATGTCTGAGAGTTGTTAGTACTTGCTGAATAAAATGTAAAACCCCCACAACAACGACCACAGAAAAGAAATATAATAGCTGCGCGCTTTTATTGCGATAAAATGTTAAAACTGAAAAATTCTCTTGAGGAAGAATAAAGTATTGGCAGCGGTGGGATTCGAACCCACGCCATCGAAATGACTGGAGCCTAAATCCAGCGCCTTAGACCACTCGGCCACGCTACCTCATGAAGACACTGCACCACACATCCCGTTTAAAAAGGGTTTCCGGGTCTGCGCGAGAATGTATAACATTTGTTTAAAAATGTATACTAGATTAACTAATTACACTTTTTTTCTCCAGTTAAAATCGCCTAAACTCTAGCTAGCGTTATTTATTTTTTTATTTATTTTATATATATTTACTTGAACATAAACTTATAAACACTCATAGAGAACAAGCGTGAACATAAGAACGCTAGAGGGCGTAGCTATACAAAAAAAAATCTAATGCAAAAAATATAAAAAATACAAAAATAAATAAACTACATTTTTACATAGAGCGTTAAATATTGCTCAAATATTGTCAAATGACAACGAAAAACGATTAATTATATGTTAGAAAATAAATCTAATTGCGCAATAAAAGTAAATTAAATTGAAAAATGTGTTACTTACCAACTTTACTAATCTGAAAGTTCAACTGAGATATTTAATTCAAATTTTCGGACGGTATTTTTCTTCTTTTTAGTTGATTTGCGTCAAGCTGCTGACGTAATTTCTCCGTCGAAGCCAAAACGAAGCATGAAATTTAATGTTCCAACTATTTTCCCACTGCAAAATAAGTTAAAATCATCACAAAATGTCGATTAAATATGCTTACTTTGTATTTAAGTCAATGTAAAAGGGAAGACGAAATCGCAATTCCATTTCAAACTTGAATTTCTGCCAAAAACGAAATAAATATATGGTTTTGAGCAAAGAATAAACAACTTTGCATTGGTGATTCGATAAAATGCGCACCGTTGCTTGTAAAATACAAATTACTGTAACAGGAAAGCTCTAATTTTCGTAAAATTATATTAAAAACTGCAAAAAAAAAAAAACACCTTATCGTTTATCTCTTAAAGTTTCCACGTGATGGTGCTGTTGTAACGCGAACTGATCAAAGTACCGAAATCTCGCGATACTTGGACTGTGTTGCTTCTTTGACACGGGAGGCGACATTGCTGCACTTTTTATGTTATTTACTTAACAAATAAAGCGAATCTAAGCGTTTTATTAGAACGAATGCACTAACCAAACTCGGAATTAGCAATGTTTTTAATTTAAGCCTTTTTCCTTAAGCACACGATTGTAAATTTACTGTAGTTAGCCGAGGATGCTAACTGTCATTGTTGTGGTGAAGTCATTGTAGATCGCTTTATCATAAAAACACGTACATTTATTTATATTATTTTTCATCGTATGGCTGCAAAACATTTATTTAAAGTTGTACATAAACTCGGGAAAGGATTGATTAAGAATTCTGATAGGATAAGAGTTGGAAGAATATTATCTGTGGTGACAGTTCCAGTTACATTGTGAGTATACGATAATATTCAATTATTAATTATGCAAAAAAATATATTTAAAAAAAGTTTTAACACAATTTTTGGTGCTACCTTTTAATGCAGTGAAATTGTATTGTCAAAGTCTCACAATAATATCATGGGCCATCACAATATATCGAAATACAAGCCACTTGGCTTAAATTCATGTTTATGGTGCAGCGAAAAAGAGATGATAATATTCAGTTATTAATTATGCAAAAAAATATATTTAAAAAAAGTTTTGACATAATTCTTGGCTCTACCTTTTAATGCAGTGAAATTGTATTCATATCACCGCAATTTCTGTTGTAGTTTCTTATTTTTAAAAGATGTTTGGTTGTATTAGAGTTGTCAAAAGTATCGAAAAATAAATACTAAACGATAATAATAAAGCTATTATCAAAACTGTTTACTCATTTAAGCAGGTTTTGATACTCGGGATGTAACAATAACCGAAATATTGTGATATTGTATTGTCAAAGTCTCACAATAAGCCCTGGCTGAGTCCTGGTTTAGCCCTGGTTTAGCCCTGGTTCAGTCCAAGATTTAGTCCTGGTTCAGTCCAAGGTTTAACCCTGGTTCAGTCCTGGTTTAGACCTGGTTTAGCCCTGGTTTAGTCCTGGTTTAGTCCTGGTTCAGTCCAAGGTTTAACCCTGGTTCAATCCAGGTTTAAACCTGGTTTAGACCTGGTTTAGTCCTGGTTTAGACCTGGTTTAGCCCTGGTTTAGCCCTGGTTCAGTCCTGGTTCAGTCCTGGTTTAGACCTGGTTTAAACCTGGTTTAGTCCTGGTTCAGTCCTGGTTCAGTCCTGGTTTAGACCTGGTTTAGACCTGGTTTAGTCCTGGTTTAGACCTGGTTTAGACCTGGTTTAGTCCTGGTTCAGCCCTGGTCTTAGTCTACGTACAGAAAACAAACACTGCCTCTACTGTAGAGTTGTTAATACTTGCTGAATAAAATAACTGAAATAACAAAGCACTTTTAACTTGTAATTATTTGGATGATGACGAGAGAAAAGTAGCACATTCACAATTTTGTTAGTCTACACAAAATATTGCAATAAATATCGTATCGTGAAAATATCGTATGGAGAATATTGGATATTGTTACATCCCTAATTGATACTAAAAAAAATAAACTAAAAAAAAACACATGCGTACAATTTAATCTCATTTTGAGGTTTATCAGAACTAGTTTAGACCACGTTGTATAATAAACAAATACTATTATTTTGTGTTGAAATTACAATATTGTCTAAATAATAATAATGGTATTTATGATTTTATTTTTTACATCATTTATTTCAGAAAGACCTCTGTCACCAATTGCGAACTTTTGGCTAAAAAACTGAACGTCGAGACAAGCTGCGATACACAAACTTCTGCTTCGTCCATATCAGGTAAAATATTACGACTGGTGAAAAGTTCATCTTGCATTTACAAATGTTTAAACTACCCATAGTCTGACATCTGGATGGAGAACAGTTAACGATATTTGCAGAATTTGGCTTTTAATTATCTAAATTGAGATACTTTGACCCGATTTGTGGTCAATATCTGTATTTGCTGAGCTGACTGTACCACCCACATAAAAATGGGGACAAAGTTCAATGTTTTTTTTTCTTTTTTCAGTACAAAGAAACTGTGTTGAACTCTGTGTAATCTCTTTGTTCTTCAAGTAGTTTCTGTTATATAATTTATGTACAGACTCACTGTCCAAAGCGTACACAGAAGGACACACACAATACACTACATTCATATATAAACCCACCAGCATACACACACACACACACACACACACACACACACACATAAAACAACCTACAGTCATGTAAGGTTGGATAAAAAATATAAAATAAAATAAAATATGTTCGGCTGGCTCTTCCAACATTTCCAGATGTCAGAGTCTCGCTCACTCCAGACTTTCTTTCTGTTGCTCGATTACCGTTTTCAGCTGCATATTTCACTATTTGTGGCAGGACAGAGGCTCTTTCTGCAGGAGACATGCGCAGAAAACTGATACACAAGACTAGAGCGCCCTCTCCTGGCTGTCAGTCTGAAAAATTTAATATATAAATCGCACCGGAAAATAAGTCGCGAGAAACACCCAAACCATGAAACAAAGTGCGACTTATAGTCCGAAAAATATCTATTTCCATGTGGTCTTATATCTGTGTGACCTCAGTGGTCCAGGTCCAAGCAAGATCTAAACCAGGTCTAAACCAGGACTGAACCAGGACTAAACCAGGTCTAAACTAGGACTAAACCAGGTCTAAACCAGGTCTAAACCAGGACTAAACCAGGTCTAAACTAGGTCTAAACCAGGCCTAAACCAGGATTAAACCAGGTCTAAACCGAGTCTAAACCAGGTTTAATCAGGTCTAAACCAGGTCTAAACCAAGTCAAAACCAGGACTAAACCAGGTCTAAACCAGGTCTAAACCAGGTCTAAACCAGGTCTAAACCAGGACTAAACCAGGACTAAACCCAGGACTAAACCAGGTCTAAACCAGGTCTAAACCAGGACTGAACCAGGACTAAACCAGGACTGAACCAGGACTAAACCAGGACTAATCCAGGTCTAAACTGAATCTAAACCAGGTCAAAACCAGGACTAAACCAGGTCTAAAAAAGGTCTAAACCAGGACTAAACCAGGATTAATCCAGGTCTAAACTGACTCTAAACCAGGTCTAAACCAAGTCAAAACCAGGTCAAAACCAGGTCTAAAAAAGGTCTAAACCAGGTCTAAACCAGGTCTAAAACCAGGACTAAACTAGGTCTAAACCAGGTCTAAACCAGGTCTAAATCGGTGTATACTGGTCTATGAGCTCTTATGCTTCATCATTGTCAAGCTGTTCAGAAAAGCTTCATTTCCGTCCTGTGAATGTGACTTTTTTAGTATCGATACCTGCTCAGACGAGGATCTAGTTTCGATTCTAGTTTCAATGTCTGATTTTCACCACTTTTAACAACCCTGCTTCTAATCGTTAACGTTACCTTCACCTCTGTTACAGCTTCCTCTTTCCAGATTCCAACAAATGCTGCGTCACAATCGTCGGATAAAGCCATGGATTTGAAATCAAAGAACGGAGCCGGATCGTCGCAGCTGAACGACGGCCACCAAAAACAACAAAAGAAGCAAAAAAACACGTTAGACTGTTGGTTAACGAAGCCCCCGAAAGCTGAAAGTTCAAACACGGAGACCGAAAACCAAGAAGACATGGAAATAAGTGAAGAAAATGCAAGTCAGAGCGAGAATACGGACAGTCAAAACATGATGGACGATGAGGAAGAAACTCAGCTTTTAACGTCGCAGGAGCTGGAAGAACACGGCGCGATTCTGAGCGAAGAAGCGCCGAGCGAAACCACAACGTCTCAGACAAAAACCGATGGAAAACCGAAAAGCGAAAATAACGGATTTCTTCTCTGGATCGTCGTCGTCGCAGAGCGCGTCCGTAAAGCGAAGCAGGAGGGACGTTTCCGACGGGTCCGAGGAGGAGGAGGAGGAGGCTGGATCCGCGGAGGTTGAACCCGACGTGAAGTGGCTCGGGACCCCGATCCACGAGCTGAGGAGGAGGCCCCAGTGCGGAGCTCCTCTGCCCAAACTCAGGAACGATCCGGAACGTCACACCGTCACGATAAGGGTACGGAGAATTTCACTGTGTAACTTTTCTCGTGGAGCGTCCGTCAAACGCTTTTCTCTGTGGAGGTGTTACTTCTTTGTCTGGAATGTTCCGCAGTACGGCTTTAAAGCTTCCTGTCTTCAAGGAGACCAACCCGGACCGAGTTACAGGTCAGATCTGTGGAGAGGCGACCCCGCTCTCAGTCAGATTGTTGTTTTTCGAGGTATTTTTGAGCTTTAAAACCACCTGTGATTGAATAAATGGGTTAGGGTTAGGTGAACTGCTCTTAAGTAGAGCAGTTTAATGTTACACTGCGGAACATTCCAAGCAAAGCAATGGTATTTCCATGGAAACAAGCAGCAAAAACTTACATAGTGCATCAATTTGAAATGGTTGGGGATTTAAAAGGCTGTGATTTTTATAGTCAAATAATTGCCGTAGCTTATTTCTCTCTTTATCTTTCCCTCCTCTCTTCCTCTCTCTGTCTTCTCTCTCTTCTCTTCTCTCTCTTCTCTCTCTCTCTCTCTTCTCTCTCTTACTCTCCTCTCTCTCTCTCTTCTCCTCTCTTCTCTCTCTCTCTCTCTCTCTCTCTCTCTCTCTCTCTCTCTCTCTCGCTCTCTCTCTCTCATCTCTCTCTCTCTCTCTCTCCTCTCTCTCTTTCTCTCTCTCTCTCTCTCTCTCTCTCTCTCTCTCTCTCTCTCTCTCTCTCTCTCTCTCTCTCTCTCTCTCTCTCTCTTCCTCTCTCTCTCTCTCTCTCTCGCTCTCCTCTCTCTTTCTCTCTCTTCCTCTCTCTCCTCTCTCTCTTCCTCTCTCTCTCTCTTCTCTCTCTCCTCTCTCTCCTCTCTCTTTCTCTCTCTCTCTCTCTCTCTCTCTCTCTCTCCTCTCTCTCTCTTCTCTCTCTCTCTCTCTCTCTCTCTTCTCTCTCTCTCTCTCTCTCCTCTCTCTCTCTCTCTCTCTCTCTCCTCTTCTCTCTCTCTCCTCTCTCTTTCTCTCTCTTCCTTGCTCTCTCTCTCTCTCTCTCTCTCTCTCTCTCTCTCCTCTCTCTTTCTCTCTCTTCCTCTCTCTCCTCTCTCTTTGTCTCTCTTCCTCGCTCTCCTCTCTCTCTTTCTCTCTCTCTCTCTCTCTCTCTCTCTCTCTCTATCTCTCTCTTCCTCTCACTCTCTCTCTCTCTCTCTCTCTCTCTCTCTTGCCCCCCCTCCCCCTCCTCCCCTCCCCCCATCTCCCTCCCACTCTCCTCTCTCTCTCCTCTCTCTCTCTGGCTCTCTCTCACCCCCCTACCTTTCCCCCCGCCTTTCCTCTCTCTCCTCTCTCTTTCTCTCTTGCTCTCCCCATCCTCTCTCTCTTCCTCTTTCTTCCCTCCCCCTCTCCTCTCTTTTCTTTCTCTCTCCTCTCTCTCTCTGTGCTGCTCTCTCCTTTTTCTCTCTCTCTCTCTCTTTCTCTCCCCTCTCTCTCTCGCCCTCCCCTCTCTTTCTTTGTCTCTCTCTGTCTATCTCTCTCTCTCCTCTGTCTCTCTCTCTTTCTCTGTGTGTCTCTATGCGGCACTAAAAACGGTAACTTTCATAAAACACACATTTATTTTACTTTATTATAATTTGAACATTATTTTCTGTTGTCGTTGACCTCGCTGTTTGTTTAGTTTTTTTTTTTTTGTTTTGTTTTTTGTTTTTCAGACAGACCTGCTGCGTCCCGGCTCCCGTCCCGTCCCTCACCCGTTTCTGCTCCACGACGTCTGGGACGAAGTTCACGTGAAAATGCCCTGCTCCTCCAAGAGTCTGTTTCCAGTCAGAGACGAGGTCAAATCTCTACTCTACATCACATCACAATAAATATAAGTCTGAACAGTTACACTAATAATTATTTAAAGCTGCACTGTGTAACTTTTCTGCTGGAGGGTCCGTCAAACGCTTTTCTCCGTGAATTTTCAACCCCGCTCACAGTCAGAATGTCTCTTCTTCGAGGTATTTTTGAGCTATAAAACCATTTGTAGTTGATTAAATGTAAATTAGAGCTGTTTAAAGTCACACTGCGGAACATTCAAAACAGAGCAATGACGTTTCCATAGCAACAAGCCGGTGACAAACCCCCCCCCCAAACAGAAAATTTACACAGCGCACTTTTAACAAACACGACGCATCCAAGCTTTGAAAGTGCATTTTTTTCCTCACTCAGTAAACCTGTTTTTATTTATTTGTTATTTTATTTATTTATTTTATTTTATGTATTAATTAATTTATTTATTTATTTTTGCAGGAAACGAATGAGCTTGAAAATAAAAGTCGCTGGGAGTTAATTAAAGAATCCTTGGACGATGAATTTTCAGATCCTCTTGAACTTAAGGTAAATTGTCTATTATTATTATTATTATTATTATTATTATTATTATTATTATTAATTATTAATTTTTTTTTTTATTACTTTTTTTTTAAATTTTATTTATTTATTATTTTTTATTTATTTTATTTTTTTATTGTATTTTCTAATATTTTGTCACCTTATCACAAAATTCTTACCTGAACCGACCACTAGATGGAGACAAAGCCCTAAAAATCAGCTTCTTTTACTGTCATCCTACTTTAAAATAATTAATCTTGTATGTTTGGCTTTTAATAATAATAGTTTCCCGTTTACATAATTATTAATCATGTTTTTCATTTTAACAGAACGCCATTTTGAGATACAACGCCTCCTACGCCAAGAAATGGGACTTCACTGCTCTGTACCTGTACTGCGCCAAGGTGAGAGATTATTTCATGATCATTATTTGTATTGTTTTAGAGTATTTTTTAAAGCTTTTATCTGTTTGGTTTGGACGCTTAGAGACTTTCTGACTCTCTCCCCCTCTCTCTTACTCTTTTTCTCCCCGTCTCTCTTCGTTTCTCCGCTCTCTGTCTTACCTGTCTCTCCCTGTCTCTTATTTCTTTTCTCTCTCTCTTCTCTCCCTAACTTATTTTCCTTCTCCCCCTCTCTCTCTCTCTTTTCTCTCTCCTCCTGTCTCCCCCTCTCTCTCCTCTCTCTACCCCTTTCTCTCTTCTCGCTCTTCCTCTCACTTCTATTTCCACTGGTAGAATCGACTCAAATAAAGGAAAATGTTCTCAGTTTAAGTCATTTTAACTAACCTAGATATTACTTTTTGCAGTGAAGAATACAAATAAATAATAAAAAAGTAAAAAAAAAATCTAAATAAAAGACACAGAGGAGCACACGACTCACACGGTGTTTAAAGCTAAAAGTGGGTTTTAAGACGAGACTTAAAACTCTCCACTGTGAGGTCAGAGAGAAGGTCCTGTCCTCCCTTTTAGTCCTGGTTTAGTCCTAGTTTAGTTCTGGTTTTAGTCCTGGTTTAGTCCTGATTTAGTCCTAGTTTAGTTCTGGTTTTAGTCCTGGTTTAGTCCTGATTTAGTCCTAGTTTAGTTCTGGTTTTAGTCCTAGTTTAGTTTTAGTTTTAGTCCTGGTTTAGTCCTGGTTTAGTCCTAGTTTAGTTCTGGTTTTAGTCCTAGTTTAGTTCTAGTCTTAGTCCTGGTTTAGTCCTAGTTTAGTCTTAGATTAGTTCTGGTTTTAGTCCTAGTTTTGTTCTGGTTTTAGTCCTAGTTTAGTTCTAGTTTTAGTCCTGGTTTAGTCCTGGTTTAGTTCTGGTTTTAGTCCTAGTTTTGTTTTAGTTTAATTCTAGATTAGTCCTGGTTTAGTTCTAGTTTAGTCCTAGTTTAGTCCTAGATTAGTTCTGGTTTTAGTCCTAGTTTTGTTTCTGGTTTTAGTCCTAGTTTAGTTTAGTTTAGTCCTGGTTTAGTCCTGGTTTAGTCCTGATTTAGTCCTAGTTTTAGTTTGGTTTTAGTCCTAGTTTAGTTTTTAGTTTATTTCTGATTAGTCCTGGTTTAGTTCTGTTTAGTCCTAGTTTAGTTCTGGTTTTAGTCCTGGTTTTAGTTTAGTTCTTTAGTCCTGGTTTAGTCCTAGTTTAGTTCTTAGATTAGTTCTGGTTTAGTCCTAGTTTTGTTCTGGTTTTAGTCCTAGTTTAGTTCTAGTTTAGTCCTGGTTTAGTCCTGGTTTAGTTCTGGTTTTAGTCCTAGTTTTGTTTTAGTTTAATTCTAGATTAGTCCTGGTTTAGTTCTAGTTTAGTCCTAGTTTAGTCTTAGATTAGTTCTGGTTTTAGTCCTAGTTTTGTTCTGGTTTTAGTCCTAGTTTAGTTCTAGTTTTAGTCCTGGTTTAGTCCTAGATTAGTTCTGGTTTTAGTCCTAGTTTTGTTTTAGTTTAATTCTAGATTAGTCCTGGTTTAGTCCTGGTTTAGTCCTAGATTAGTTCTGGTTTTAGTCCTAGTTTTGTTTTAGTTTAATTCTAGATTAGTCCTGGTTTAGTTCTAGTTTAGTCCTAGTTTAGTTTTGGTTTTAGTCCCGGTTTAGTCCTAGATTAGTTCTAGTTTAGTTTAGTCCTAGTTTAGTTCTGGTTTTAGTTCTAGATTAGTCCTGGTTTAGTCCTAGTTTTGTTTTGGTTTTAGTCCTGGTTTAGTCCTGGTTTAGTCCTAATTTAGTTTTAGTTTTAGTCCTGGTTTAGTCCTAGTTTAGTTCTAGTTTAGTTCTAGTTTAGTCCTAGTTTTGTTCTGGTTTTAGTTCTAGATTAGTCCTGGTTTAGTTTTGGTTTTAGTCCTGGTTTAGTTTTGGTTTTAGTCCTGGTTTAGCCCAAAATGTGAAAACAGGACAATAACTCTGTGTAATCCATTTATTTCAACAAAGTAACTGTAATCCAATTCCCACTCACTGAAACAGTAACTGTAACTGAATACTTTTACTCATCATTTGTACTCTGATTACTTAACTCTGGTACATGTAATCTGTTACTCCCCGACACTGACGACGGTAAAATCTTCTCGGGTTCTCACGTTCACGGCTCCTTTTACCTTTAGTTCATTTGGTGTGTTTAATGTCACACTGTGGAACATTCGAAGCAGAAAGCGGTGACATCGCCATAGAAACGAGCAGGTGACGGAGCCCTGACTGAAAAGTTACGCAGTGCGGCTTTAACTTCACCACACGTTTAGAGTTCGTGTGGCCTTGTGTCGCTTTACAGTTTACGTCACTTGTCCTCCAGCTCTCCATCCCTCTTTCCCCCCTTCCCTCTCTCTTCTTCTCTCTCTCTCCCCCTCCTTTTCCTTCTTTCTCTTTCCCTCCTCCCTCCCTCCCTCACTCTCTCTCTCCCTGTCCCTCTCTTTCTTTCTCTCTCTCTTCGTCTCTTCTGCTCTCCCTTTGTCCCTCTCCTGCTTTTTCCATCCGTCTCTCGTTTTTTGCGTCGCCCCCTCTTCCCTTCTCCTCCCTCTCTCTTTCCATCTCTTTCTCCCTCTCTGTCTCTCTCTCTCCCTGCCCTCCCTCTCCTGCTTTCTCTATCCATCTCTCGTCTTTGCATCCCCTCCCTCCCTCCTTTTTCCTTCTCCATCCATCTATCACCCTCCCTCTCGTCCTCCCTCCTCCCTCTCTCTCTCTCTCTCTCTCTCTCCTGCTCCCTCTTTCTCCCTCTGCCACTTTCTCCATCCGTCGATCATCTTTGCTTCTCCTCTTCTTTCTCTCCCTCCCCCTCATCCCCCTTTTCTCCCTCTCACCGTCTCTCCTCCCTCTCTCTCTCTCTTTCTCTCTCCTCTCCTCTTTCCTTCCTCTCTCCTCTCTCCTCCCTCTCTCCTCTCCCCCTCTTCATCTCCTCCTCTCCTCCCTCTTCATCTCCTCCTCTCCTCCCTCTTCATCTCCTCCTCTCTCTCCTCCCTCTCTCCTCTCCTCCCTCTCTCTTCCCTCTCTCCTCCCTCTCTCTCCTCTCTCTCCTCTCTCTCTTTCTCCTTTCTCTCTCCCTCTCTCCTCTCTCTCTCTCCCTCTCTCACTCCTCCTCCCTCTCTCCTCTCCTCTCTCTCTCCTCTCTCTTCCTATCCTCCTTCCTTTCCTTTCCTCTCCTCCTTCCTCCCTCTTCTCCCTCTCTCCTTCTCACTGTCTCTTCCTCTCTCCTCTCCCCCTCTTCGCTGCTTTCTCACTCTTCTCATCCCTCTTTTCCTCTCTCCTCTCCTCTCCTCCCTCCCCTTCTCTCCTCCCTCTCTCTCTCCCTCTCTCCTCCTTTTTCCTCCGTCTCTCCTCCTCCCTCCTCCTCTCTCTCCTCTCCTCTCCTCCTCCTCTCTCCTCTTCTCTCCTCCTCTCTCCTCCTCTCCTCCTCCTCTCTCCTCTCTCCTCTCTCTCCTCCTCTCTTCCCTCTCTCTTCTTCTCTCTCTGTCCCCCTCCTTTTCCTTCTTTCTCTTTCCCTCCCTCCCTCTCTCTCTCTCTCCCTGTCCCTCTCTTTCTTTCTTTCTCTCTCTCTTCGTCTCTTCTGCTCTCCCTTTGTCCCTCTCCTGCTTTTTCCATCCGTCTCTCGTTTTTTGCGTCGCCCCCTCCTTCTTTCTTTCTCCCTCCCTTCTCCTCCCTCTCTCTCCCCTCTCTCCTCTTTCCATCTCTTTCTCCCTCTCTGTCTCTCTCTCGCTTCTGCCCTCCCTCCCTCTCCTGCTTTCTCTATCCATCTCTCGTCTTTGCATCCCCTCCCTCCCTCCTTTTTCCTTCTCCATCCATCTATCACCCTCCCTCTCGTCCTCCCTCTCGTCCTCCCTCTCTCTCTCTCTCTCTCTCTCTCTCCTGCTCCCTCTTTCTCCCTCTGCCACTTTCTCCATCCATCGATCCCCTCTTCATCTCCTCCCTCTTCTCTCCTCTCTCCTCTCTCTCTCCTTTCTCCTCCCTCTCTCTCTTTCCTCCTCCTCCCTCTCTCTCCTCCTCTCTCTCCTCTCTCTCTCCTCTCTCTCTCTCCTCACTCCTCCTCCCTCTCTCTCTTTTCCTCTCTCTCTCTCCTCTCTCCTCCCTCTCTCTCTCCTCTCTCTCTCTCTCTCTCTCCTCTCTCTCCTCCTCTCTCCTCTCCCCTCTCTCCTCTCTCTCTCTCTCCTCTCCTCCTCTCTCTCTCTCTCCTCTCTCCTCCCTCTCTCCTCTCTCTCCTCCTCTCTCCTCTCTCTCTCTCCTTCTCCTCTTCTCTCTCTTCTCTCCCTCTCTCCTCTCCTCCTCTCTCCTCTCTCTCTCTCCCTCTCTCCTCTCTCTCCTCCCTCTCTCATCCATCGATCATCTTTGCATCTCCTCTTTCTCTCGCTCCCTCTTCTCCTCCTTCCCTTCCGCCGTCTCCTCTCCTCCCTCTTCCTGTCCCCGCTCTCTCCCTCTTTCTCTTCCCCTTTCCTCTCTCTTATCCCTCTCTCTTCCTCCCCCTCCTCCCTCTCTACTCCCTGTCCACCTCCCTCTCTTTCTGTCTTTCTCTGTCTCTTCTGCTCCCTCTCTCCTGCCTTCTCCATCCATCTATCGTCTTTGCTTCTCCTCTTCTTCTTTCTCTCTCCTCCCCCTCTCTCCCTCTCACTCTCCTCCCTCTCTCCCTCTCACTCATCTCTCCTCCCCTCTTCCCTCCTTCTCTTGCTTCTCTCTCTCTTTCTCTCCTCTCCTCTTTCCTTCCTCTTCTCCCTCTCTCCTCCTCCCTCTCCTCCTCCCTCTCTCCTCTCTCCCTCTCTCTCCTCTCTCTCCTCTCCTCTCCTCTCCTCCTCTCCTTCTCTCCTCTCTCCTCCCTCTCTCCTCTCCTCCCTCTCTCTTCCCTCTCTCCTCTCCTCTCTCTTCCCTCTCTCCTATCCTCCTCCCTCTTCTCTCTCTCTCCTCCCTCTCTCACTCCTCCTCCCTCTCTCCTTTCCTCTCTCTCTCCTCCCTCTCTCCTCCTCTCTCTT